GCGTTGAATGCTACAAGTCGGGGTGTAAGCAAGTGTTGTGAAGTAATCATGGTGTCAAACCCAATCCTAGGCGAAGGTATGGAGCACCTATCTCAAGGAAGAGGCTATACCTGGTCATGATTGAAAATTCTGTGATGCGGGAGGAGGTCAAGCAACAGGATTTCACTGACTACATCAAGAAGAAGTTAGATGAAATGAAGATCCCTACCAAAATATGTTGGTCTCTTACCTCAACTTCAGAACAACTACAGAAACACATGCCTTCAAGGATGGTTTGTTAAGTGTATGTTTCACTTTTCCCCTTGCCACCACCCGGCATCCGCCAAATTGAGAATCTGAGGAATGAGCTTCTCTTGCCGTCGGACCACCCAGCTGTTTCTCGAGATATGGAGAAACGACGTCAACAGCGCACGGCGGCAGCATCCCAGTTTCTTGGATAGGGCATCCACACATATACCACTGTATAAATGAACGGAATTCCCACTCTAGATTTTCACAGAGACACATTCTGAACCCAAGGAAAGTTCCCAAAGGGGCGAAATGGGTCAAGAGACACCGTGGGTGGGCAAAGAAGAAGCAGGTGAGAATGTATACTGGTGCTCAAGTTTTTTGATTCATGTGCAAAAACAAATTTAATTCTTAAGGATGATCGAAGTACCCTTTTACATCACGCGTGATTGCAGGTGTCGGTCAAAAAGGTGAACAGGGAGAAACTGTTCGCAAAGAAGTATCGAAAAGCTGCCACTCAAATCACAAGCCACCGTGAGATGGAGGTGGGGTAATACCAAAATGAGACACTCTGGGTTCTTTAACTACAAATATATTGTCCTAGGCCTGCGCCCCAGCAGGCATGCAACATCCTGGCTGGCTGCCATGAAAACTTGAGCGTCGTGAACACAAGCCAGAGTGTGGATCACATGCCTGTTTTGCATAGTGACTTGGATGACTTGATGTGCCTCACGCCGCTTGGACTAAAGTCTTGTGGGGGTGGGCTTCAGGTTGTATGACCCATTTCTGGGGATTGTATGGTAATCCACCTAATAAGCTAAGGCCATCAGGTAAGTTCCTGGTGACATCTCGTGGGCGGTATATGATTGGCCGGGAGATCATGATGCTCATGGGACACCCCATCCATCGTCTATCTCTTGGATCATGCTCTGAATCGGTTTCTCGTCTTTTGGTGATGCAATGATTTTTTTGGGAAACTGCAGCAAGCTGACCGAAGATGTTTACAAAACGAATTATTGTGGACAATTGGTCCCGCTTGATATCCACCATTGTATAAGGTCCTTCACAGCATGGGTGGCAATGCTATGGCCCTGCGTGCTGTCCTACCTTGTATGCTAGCAGCCATGTCAGCATGTGACCCCGAAAAGCTGTTAGTGCCGCATGGCGACTTACAAAATTAGAGAGATTTCCTCCGGAAATTCGATCAGACACTGATGCATCGATGCTGTAGCGGAAAACAGGGGATCAACTTATAAACAAGTTCAATGTGCATCTGATGGCTCTGGCACATATGCTTGTGCAGACTCGATTCTATCATCTCAACCCTTTCGCAGCTGGTTCATAAATATGTGCACATTTGATGAAAAATGACCAGATTCACAAAAGTTACCATTCTGTTCAGTCCAGTCCCAACACTTTGAGGGTTTTTATCAGTTTAAAAATGAAAACATTTATTTGATGCTCAATGTTATGATCGGATTTTTCTGGGAATAGAACCTGCGTACATGTCATGTCTTTGGCGCGGTGGGATGCTGAAGCCGATTCCGCTGCCAACGAGCTGAATCTGAAACGGTATGAAGATGATTCGGACACTAGTTCTATGTCAAGTGGATGCAGCTCTGACTCTGAGGGTTGCCAGCAACTTGGCAGCACATTGTCATGGGTGGTCCAACGCTCTCGGCCAGCACATTGGGTAGTCCAGTTGTTTGATGTTTAAAGTTTAACATCCTGTGGACAACATTGGTCGACACTGATCTTAGGATGTCAACTTCTGAGACTACTACCAGCATTTCAGACACTGACAGCGGGAGTGGGGGTGATGACGACCATGCCCCAGCTGTGATTGATTTGACTTATGAAAGGCTCCAGTCGTTGCATGCCCATGGAACAATTCCCAGGAAAGAGCTAGGTGATTATGCCAAACGAGGTGTTTCATCTTCCCGAATCAAGGCTGCAGTGAACAAACCATGTTGCACATGTATGTGCAAACTGCCTGTGATGATTCTCTACAAGCTGTGCATTGCGTTTTGGACTTTGACCAAAAGCTCTCAAGATGCTCTCTTATGGAGTATTCAGCATGAGTCGGGGAACCAGAAAAAAAAACGTTGGTACATGGCAGGACCGCTAACACATGGTCAAATTATTGTTCACCCTTTCACCCTATTCGAAACCATCCCTCACAAAGTCAAAAACTAACACATGGTCAAATTATTGTTCAAACTTTCACCCTATTCGAAACTATCCCTCACAAAGTCAAAAACATGTTCTGGTGCAGGATACCCAATGTGCAAGGATGCTTGGGCACATTGCCTTGGGGTGGGCAAGCACCGCCTTGGGCGGTGCCGAAACACCTTTCAAGGAAGAGATGGCAGATCTTTAACTGGACGTGGGGGACACTACTCTGATTTATGTTGATTCAACATTTAAATTTAAATGACACATTGTTGAATAAACAATAATTACTGCCGCCCCTTCCTTGCTCTCAGTGCCACCTTGCTTGTCGCTCAGGACCAGCGGCGCCTGCGTCGGTGAAGTCATCGAGCGTGAGCAATTTTCTGATCCATCTTTACTGGACTGCGGCAGAACCGATGTCTACAGGGTATCTTTGGAGAAAACTTAACATGGCTTGTAGTGAGTACATGCAGCCACTCATACATTCAAAGAATCAACCCATACAGTCAATGGGTTTGTTGGGAAAATAAAACAGCGGGCCAATCCCAAGGATAATATCCAAGTCCAGCATGAACAAAGATGATGGCCTACTCCGAGATGAGTTAATGCAGCGGTTAATAGACTGTCGGCTCATGAGTGCGTTCACAGAGATTGTCTTCAATCAAGACCCAAATCGCCTGGGGTTACGAGAATTACCACATGGATCTTGGAGTAATGTGTATGTGCTCTACCAGGCACACTGCCGTGCTCGGGGTGAGGTCCCGGCCTCCAAATCCACGTTTTTCTCCGTCTCTCAGCAATGGCGTTGTTGCCTTCGGTTTCACAAGAAGTCACAGCATTCAGTGTGTGTTACATGCAGTCGTTTGAAGATGCTTATCAGGCATTCACACGAAACTTGGGTGAAAACACTCGAAGTTTTAGATTTGGATATGGTGACCCAAACTCGCAAGAAAATGTCTTGTACACAAATCAGTGCTACCTAGTTCTTGGGGAAATAGCCCATCGCTGCATGCCAGAGCATGCCGCTACCTGAGGATGTGAAGAGATACTGTGAGCTCAGCCAGCAATTGTTGAATCACTACTTGAAAACTCTGCAGGACCGCCAAACTTACTGGACAGCACGTGAGCGTGCAAAGACGGTTGGGGATCTTCTTGTTTTGAACATCGATAGCTATGACAAAGCTAAAGTCACTCTCCCCCGATGGCCGTTTCAACGTTGCCCCAAGAGGGCTATTTATGATCAAGTTCGTCGTTGATTGTCTGCACCTGGTGTTGTTTTCTTTCTCTCTGTTTCGAAAAGACTTTGCCTTACCGTTTTTGCTTCCCAACCATTTCCCAAAACCACTAGCAAGTAAGGTACCTCTATGACTTTGACTGGGTGCATCGTTCACGGATACGGTGTTTTCCTTTACCTTGTTGATGAAGGTTTCCCCACTGGAGCAAGCTGGACGATAGAGGTTGCATCTTGATTGAAAACCAACTAAACCATTCTCAAAAAATAGTTTTGCCAGGGCTCCCCGGTCCCCTGCCTGCTCTGCAATCCAAGGCCATGCGTTCCATTGACAGAGCCTTTGTCATTGCGCAGAGCAAGGGCAGGCGCTTTCCAGCTGAGTTTCTGGTCAGCAAAAACATCAGTGGGTACAAACTGTCTGAATGCCTTGTCACTTATTATCCCAGCAATCTATAGATTGGAAATTTGATGAGGTGTTGGGTTCAGGGCGACAACGCCTGCAAGGAAGTTCGAAACTCCTTCACTGGCCGTTGGGCCTCATTATTGTGCCAGGGAGGATGGTTTACAGGTGTGGCCCACCACCATATGGTGGTGGGCCACACGCACGAAGACATAGGTGGGGCATCCAAACATAATAATTATACAAAACAATGATATAATGCATATATGTTTTTATGGTTTAAAACCGTACATTCCTACATGCCACTGTCTTGATATTTTGTAAGGCCTACTATTTTGTAAATTTACAAAAGCACATGCATACACACACACACATACACATACGTATGCTGACCCAGGAAACACATGTATACATACACAAACATCACCTGTCACATCAACATCCTGCCCCCTGAGATGGTATCTTCTCCATTGTGACATCATCTTTGAACTCACAGCATGATTTGCAGACACCTCGTGACGTTCAAAGGAGTGGGTTTTGGTTTTACTTGTCAAGCCCTCATCATCCCCCGCAGTTTGAAGTTTCTCCTTTGCAGGACTTTGATCCAGAAAATGCGTCCTCTGTTCGAAAAATCAGGGCTGCAGTTCGATTGCGAGCTTGTGGACACAGCAGCTTGGCTGAGCCCCAAGCCCTAGTGTATTGTCTCCCCCGTTCTGATAATGTTGTAACTCCAAGTGCTCTCTAAGTCCCGGGACTGGTGCCGGCTGATGCCGGCTGGAGCTACTTTGAAGAACTGCTACCGGGCTCGTAAGGGTGATGGCGATGGAGAAGAGACGTTCTGTGTCCCGCAGAGTTTTACTTTTATGGCCAGGGAAGGCCAGGCAGAACCAAAGGGAATGAAACAAGGGAATGTTCATTTTTTCAGTGAACATATACCTCTGATTGTTTGAACGCACTTGTCCCGGAGGCATGCCCGGTGCTGGGTACGGTTTGGATCTGGATGATCACCTGCCCCGTCGGTTGAGACTGGAACAAGGAGGTAACAGCAAAGACGTTTTTTGCATGGTCAAGGCCACGATGGCAGATGAGCGGCTGTCCCAGCCACCAATTCTGGTATACCCACAATGCTTTCTTCCTGCAACCCAAGGGTTCTTCAACAGGATCAACGACACCAACTTGCTCGTGACCGCTTCTTTAGATCAAGGCCGTTGTGAGGAACTGTCGGAGTTGGCCGAGAACATCCAGAAAGATTTCCCGCATATGCAGAGAGGTGTGGCATACCTGAGGTCTCTGATGGACGGGGATAGGCGCTGGCAACCGTTGCCTAGGCTGCAATTTATTGAAGCAGGTCCAGCTGCTTCTCTTGGCCTGGGCAACTTGCAAGTCGGACAGCCTCCACCTCCCCCGAAGCCTCACAGGCTTCAGGTAGTTTTCCATCATCAGCCGGCAAGATGATGATGTGTACTTTTGTTTGTCTGGGGTGTGGCACGAATGTGCCAATGGGACCACAAAAGATCTAACAGGATCTGATGGGTGCTCTAACCTTCAAGGGGTTGGCAGAAAAGAAGTTGCTCAAGTTTCCATGTGGTTTGGCGACTTGTCAAGTTTGAAACTCTTGTGGGATTCAAACGGGATTGCACCTCATCACATTGTGCATTTTGAAGGTCAATTTTTCCAAGATCCCAGGGTAGGAAAGCCGGTCGACCTCCCAAGTGCAATGGGGGAGTTGGCTGCTGATGCGGCTTCTGATGAAGTGCTTCAGAAGATCGCAGCGTTCTTCGAGTCAGTTTGGGGCTGATTTGATCGCAGGGATGGATGTCAGTGCGTAAAAGCAATTTAATTTTGATGTTTTTGGGGTGCTTTTCGCATCTTTGAGGTCATTCAGGATGGCAATTTTGGAGAGTGGGTCAACAAAACAGATCGAAAAGTGTTGGACGAGGCTCCGTCTGGGAGTACCCAAGTCAATGAACCATCTAGTCACCTAGTCACTCTTGAATGGCAAGTCGGTTTCTGAAAAGTTAGCAATGGGCAGGTTTTGCAGAAGCTGGTGCCCATCGACCGCACTGAAAACCGTCCAACCCTGACGATCATCCCGAACACGTCAATGAAGGAGTTCTGGCTCCCTTTGAGTGCATTTGATTTGACGGCCACGTCCAAGTCTGGATGTCGGGGTTTTGAAAAATGGTAGCCGCTGTTTTCGATTTGTTTTGCAAGCATTGTGTGTTGTTCCAAGGCATATAATTTTGTTTTTTGAATGAACCATCCCCTGGCAGACTATCCACAGAATACCCAGATGGCATGCCATTTCAAAGAGTTCCTCAAGGGCGGCTATCGCATCAGCGCGGAAAGTGTGGAAGTGAAGTTTCCATCGGGAGACGGGACGCGCCAGATCTTTTCAGGCAGCGTCGGCATCAATGATGGGTTTACCAAAGTGTTGATCATGGCCGGGATCACTTTGATCTGCCATCATCTGGAAACATGATGGCATGTGCTCGTCAAATGTTGCTATTTATCCCTACAATCTTTCTGATAGTTTTTCCATGTCGTCCATTTCCAGAAGATTCTGGGTGGTTCTGGGTAGTGGCAGCGAATTATGTCATACGGTCGAGCATGCTAAAGCTTTCCTAAGGAGCTCTCACAAGAACAGCTTGAACTACCAGGGGTGGAAGTTGTTCTCAGCAGTTTCCGCTGGGTGCGGTGTGCATACACACACTTTGAACCCGTCAATGCATTACCTCCATGCTCTTCGACTCTTGTTTTTTACTTTGGTGCAAAAGGTGTTTGCAACCCAACACGTTTTTACCTGATATACTATGATCGACTTAATAGAGTTATAGGTACATACATACACATGCTACTAATTTAGTTAAACTGATGCCCATTGTTGCAACCTATTGCTTTTGATCTCTCCATACCTATGATCTCTATCCCCCTACAGTTATGGCCATTTATTAGTTATAACTGGTTATAAATGGGATTATACAATCTATAAATGAGGATATAAGTACTTATAACTGGTAAAGGGCCATAACTGTAGGGCTTTTCCAAACACCGAATCGCACTGAGGCATTCAGCATGTCACGGCTCAGAAGCAGGCGCCTTCACCCATAGATTTCTTGGGGGCCATGAAGATGGCGGTGAATGTGGAAAAGCGCCTTGCGAAGGGCAAGGTCTCGAATGCATTGCGGGATGTGCTCACCCGGTGCGTGGGGGAGTACAACCGGTTGGTCACGAAGAAAGCTCACAGGATAGACACCCCCATCAAGAATCTGATTCTGAACCTGTTTTCCGGCTTTGCAAGTGCAAGTTTTTCTAAGCCTGTCCATGGGCATTTCCTGTGAGACATTCACATGGATTGATACATCAAAATGCTAAAGCTAGTGTTTGAGGTTACGCACCGATGATGACATCCAGCAGATCCTTCACCATCACTATGACATGTTTCCCCACACAGTTTCAGGCTTGCTGTTGGTGAAAATGGGTATGGTAAGGGACAAGCCGTAAGTAAGCCCTGCCGCTCCAGCCGTAAGCCCTGCCAGCCTTGCCGATCGATGTCCTCCAACAAGACTTCTGGGTTCCTGGCAGCACAGGGAGGGCTGATTCTGCACGATATGCTGGAAAGTCGTTGTTCCGGGAGATCCTTTCACCCACCGTGGACACTTGCAAGCTATGGATGATGCGTGCCACTGAGGACCAATATAGTAAGTAAGTAAGGAAGAAAGAAAGTAGATCCTGTCATGCTAGTTGAGGGTTGCCAATGTGCGCTATGTGTTCTTGACACTCATACGTTTTTCTTTCCATGGATGCCTGCTTGGTGACCCAATGCAGGACTTCAAGCGCCGGGTGGGCCCTGATGCATCGGTCAAGAGCAAGGACCGCTGTTGGCAATACTAAGACAATCTAAGACAACATTCTAATTCTATTTCCAACTTTTTTTGGTCTTAAGAGCTTGGTCTTTGGTTTCAAATACCTCGCCTTTCATGTGGCTCCCAAGCCCAGCCCTGGCCCTGTCCTCAGAAAAATGCGCAGCTGGACGATGAGAGCCACCTGCTGTTACATGACATATGTTGTTTGTGGTCGTGGATGGTCCCGAAGTTGAAGAATGAGTTTCCATCGGCAGTGGTGGACAAGCACTGCGCTATGTTTCTGCGGGGGCCCCTTGCTGGAATGGAATTATATCATCCTCCCCAAAACCCAAAAAATATTTTAGTGGTTGAATTCCTGGGGTTGGGTTCTGGGTCTTGACCCGTCACAAATCTTGTCGTGAAGTTGGCTGGAGCCAAGTTGAAGCTTCCAATCTAGGGTGGGACGTCACAAACTCTAGGTTGGAGTTGGCTGGCGCCAAGTCGAAACCTGAAATTGTGACTGGATTCTGTAGAATCCCGTCGCAATTTCCTGAACGGACTTGGCTGTGGCCAAGTCCAAAAAGTTAAAAACCAAAATATAATCAATCACATTCTGGCTGGGGCTACAAAGATGAAATTGTGATTGGATTCTGGGAAATCCCGTCGCAAATTATAGATGACCGGGGATGGGAATCAAACTGGCCAGCTGAAATCTTTTCATCTGTGGTGATTGGTTCTCCCAACAGCCAGTAAAGTTTCAAGGGATTCCCCAGAATCACGTCACAATTTGCCAGGGAATCCAAACTTCAGAAAATCAAGGGTTTTCCGGTATTTTAGCCTTCCATCTCTTAATTGCAGATTTTGGGGAACTGAGACTCCAATATTTGCACATATCTTCATATTCCCTTGTCACTGAGGGCCTTGGATGGGGATCTTGGATCAGTCATGCGTGCTGCCCAACCATTTGAATGGGATCGAATTTCCTTCGTGCTTGAGGCTGGGGTAATTTATTATGGGAATACTTGGGCATATCCCTATTTTTATATGTTCAAAACCGGTTTGACAAAATTCTACAGAATTCTACAGGACTATTACAAGCAGCCTAATATTCAATACATTCAAGGGCCCCTAAACAGAAAAGATCCTATCAGTATTAAGGATGGAGATATATTTTGGTTTGTTGCACATCATACCCCCTGTAGATCCGTGGTGAGACTGTGGATGATTTCATCTGTCAAGCCCAAGACCGCACGAGAAATGCTCATTCCAAGTCTTTGGCAGCGGCCTGGAATGTGTGGAAGGAGATGCTTCTGTCCGATCAGGTCACCTTCGAGTCAGAAAGAATTTCGCCCCGTGGCCGATGGAAGTGGGGTTTTAACTAAATTGTTTTAGCGGATATATTTTTTTGGTCAATGATAGGGTGTAGGAATCAGGGCTTTGAACAATAAGATCTGCGATCGGGCGGCCATGGACCCTGTAATGGTTAGCATCGATGTCGTTTTTGGCTGTTACTATGATGATGATGGTGATGAAGATGGCAGCGATGATGGTGGTGATGCTTGCGATGATTGTTTTGATGGTGTGTGAGTGTGTGGGGTGGTCGTGATAATGAAGGAGACGATGATAATTCTGATGATGATGATTTTTTGAATTTAGTTTGATGAAAATGACATGATGATGAAGAAGAAGATGATGAGGATGATGATGTTGATGATGATGATGATTTCATGATGATGATGATGATGAGGGTGATGATGATGATGATGATGAGGGTAATGATGATGATGATGATGATGAGGGTATGTATCAAAATTAGGTGCTCTTTCTTGGCCCTAAATATCAAGTTTGTAAGGAGAAAGGGACACCTAATTTTGAGACACCCCTGTGATGATGATGATGATGATGATGATGGCGATGATGAGATTTTTGAATTTAGTATGATGATGATTATGGTGATGGTGATGATGAGAAAGATGTTCATAATCAGGCAGATACAGATGAAGGTGAAGATGTGCATGGATGGCAATGATGGGTGGATGGATGGCTGGGTGGAAGGAAGGAAGGAAGGACGGACGGACAGACGGAAGGAATGATAGATGGATGGATGGGTGGATGGATGGATGGATGGATGGGTGAATGGATGGATGGATGGATGAAGGGCCAGGGGGGGGAGGGGGAGGGGGAGGGAGCGAGGGAGGACGGGAGGAATGGATGAAGGGAGGAAGGGGTGATCAAAATGATTAAGATTATGATTATGGCGCCAATAACGATGAAAATGATGATGATAATGGTGATAATGCTTATTGTGATAATGGTGAATTTGTGGATGCTTACATGAACGTAAACACGCCACATGCCTGTCAGTAACTAAACAGTTCGCTTGGATGCATGTTATCCATTTTGCCAAACAAAAAGCGATGGCTTCTGAGAGATGATATTGTTCCATGAAAATTAGGCATTCTATAATATATGTATACATACTAAATGAATAAATAAATAAGTAAATATAATATATATAGATATGAATACACCACGGTGTCCCATGCATATATGTGTGAATTTAGATGTAAAATTTACGGTGCTCCGTGATCGCCCAAACGACAATCATCATCATCAACAACACCACACGATCTTCATGGAAACACCATTGAGATTTCTCGTTTTTGTTTGTTCAAAACATCCAGGACTCTTCAGTTCCTATTTTGGTGTAGGCAATAAAAGTGTAGACCACGCCCCAACTCCAGCCTTGATTCTCTCCTCCTACTACATCCATTACTTTCCTGCCAGCGCATCTCAAGGAGCGAAAGGGAGTATGCAAAGCGGCGTGCCAAAATGGTTGCCCAGCTGGAGGATGCAAGGGCGGATATACAACACTAGATTTTCCAACTTAAGTCCCAAAACAACAGATATTTCGAGGGATAAATCTGGTCCCTATTAGATCATGTGTGGCCCTGTGAACCAGATATGAGATTGATGATCACTACTTAGTCCATTCAATCCCCATTTATCCAATCCCCAAAACAAAACAAGTTCAGATAACCCTCCAAAATCACGACGGGGCTTTGCTACTTTTTATATCACTAGAAAGGGGATCAGCTGCCAAATGGTGTAAACACAGATGTTGGTGGCAAAACACCAACCTTTCTTTGAAACAGGAGATGCACAACAAGGCGTGGGGCCTCGTCTCGGGTTACATGACGAAGAACTTGGAGACATTTTCGGGCAAATCCATTGAGGCCGAATCAACCGTTTTGCCGTCAATCACTGAATGGATCCAGGACACACTCAGTGATCTGCCAGTAGCTAGGCTTTTGTTACCTGTAAATGTTTGGGGGTTGGGGTTTCAATGTTATTTTTTTGCCCCAGTGGAGTTATAGATCGGGTTTTTGTGTCAGCTGTCAACCATGAATTTCCCGACAATAGGGTTCCATACAGTTTTAAGGCCATTTATTTGTTATAACTGTTCGTAAATGGGATTATACATTCTATAACTGGGCATAAGTACTTATAACTGGTAAAGGGCCATAACTGTATCCTTGATGGTGAGTTGGTCCAACTCTCACAGCCCCAAGGACAAAGCCATGGATGGTCACTCCCTGGTCATATGGTGTAACCTGACCACTGTCGGAGTGATGCCTGCTGCCAAATTTGATTTTTTCATTACGGCAGTTTCAAACCTCCTGGCCACCCACAAGAGGAATGCCATTGCCTTGATTGTACACTGCAACAGGGCATCTGATACTGGCAGGACACAAGAGCTTAAACTTGAGACCACCACACTTCTTAATTTGTTTTGAAAGAGCAAATAAGAAGTAAGAACGGGTCAAAACATGACAATGATAGATCTATATCAACCTTGGCCCTAAACAGGAAAACTGTTGAGAAGAAGGAGAAGGTCGAGAAAGACGAAGAGGATGACAAAGTGGCAAAGGAGGAGGATGATGGTGAATCTGACATGGAGGGGTCGGAGGACAATGAGAAGGAGAACGCGGAGGAAGCTGACATTCGAGATATGAGGCACAAGCTCGAGAAACTTGGTTTTCATTTTATTTGGGTCATTTTCAGCCACGTTTTATTCCCTTGTGTTTTCAGCCGCAACCAGAGAGAGGACAAGGTTCCGGCTTTTGTTTCGAAGAGTACCCAAATTATTGAGATAATAAAAATGTTATAATCAATTGAAGGGATTGTTCTTTGCTGTCTTGGAAAACTTCCAGGAAAATGCTTTCGGCAACATCAAGAAACCTCGTTGTCAAGAATGTTACGTGGGTGTTCGACAAGGTTACTGGCCAAAATTGGATCACCATTTTTGAAAATCAAAACTTCATGTATACGGGATGCCCTATTATGTTGCTCTCCATTCTCTGTTTGACTCTTTACCATGCCATTCTATGGCCCTGAGGCGACGGTGTACGGAAAACGTGATGCCTGTATTCAGGGGCTGGCAGTGGTGCACCGTGACAAGCTGAACACATTCAAGGCATCGGCTGGATGGAAGCATGGCCTTATCCGGGATTGTGCAATGCTCCCTCGTGCCCAAATGTTCAAACCGGAGGAGCGGTGTTTGAAAACACAAAATTTATCTACTTAGGTTTTTTACTTTCCAAGTAGCTTGTGCTTGCTTGCATTCTGCTGATAGTCACTGATCCTACAGGCGCCGTCGGCGACACCTCACTTGGGACGTGCATTTACAGATGCGCAGGAGTTGCGCCAGGCTTCTTGCCTTTTAGTTGATGTTGCACCCCAAAACCAAAAATAACCTTTATGGGATACTTTGAGATGCCAAGAGTGTTGAGTATTCTTGGTGGGCCGCTTTGCTAATCCCAGGTTGCTGGTGGTACGGACCTGCTGCGGAAGACGCTGAATGCCTTCCTCCCACCTTCCACAAAGACGGCTTTGCTTGTAGACCTCCACTGCTACGATGCATGGCCGGCCCTGACGGCTTTGGAGGACACTTTGGTTTTTGTGTCATTTGGTTGATAACCACCATATAGATTCAATCCAGGGAAATAAGCCAATGTTTTCATCCAACACCCTGTGCCAGCCCACCCACCAGGAGTCAACCGGCAACCGCACTGTCCTTTGCTGCAACGTTGTGCTGGACAAGGCCCCTGACGGACTGATTCAGAGAGTGGCCAACAAAGTCTATGAGGCTTGCAGGGCTGACCAGTTGAAGGTTGTTGGGTTCCCAGCTTTTGGCCCCCTGGTACAAGCGCTTCAGTCGTGCAAACCCGAAAACCAGACCACCAACTACCAAGTGTGCGTGCGCAAACATGACAGATTGGTGGTACTGCAGTCACTAGCTGCCAAATGGCTCGAGACTGAGTACAAAGATGCTACCGTGGTCGAGCTAGAGAATCACAACCAGAAGTACAATGTTGATGGCGAGTATTGGCATGAGACCGCTGAGAGGCCGGCCCAACATCTAAATATAAATTCCATGAGGGATTGGGTGTTTGTTTACATTTTCCCTTTGCGCTTGGTAAGCTGATAGTATGAGAAGAATGAAGGTTATCCAATTTTCCCACCCTTTGTTTTTCTCGCGCCTCTGCAGGTCCGCAGAAGACGATGAAGGCCGTCCTCTGAAAAGGATAAAGCTGGAGGAATCGGAGCTGGCAAAGGAAGCTGATGTGGTGACTTTGCAAAAGCCGCCCCTTGGATTTTGAATGAAGTCATCATGAAATTTAGTTTGGTAAAATATTCCAAACCGTTATTGATTTGATACTTTCGCGGTGGGATGACCCATCCATTTCCCTCACGCCCATTGATGTTAATCTGTGGGCTGCCCCAAAATGTTACGGAAATTGGCAAAGGATGAATGCTTTAGTTTGGGGACCCCCAGGTTTGATATACACCCAGGTTTAAGAACACACAAATTTGCAAAATGACTTTATTCCATGGTGGCCTTGCTGGCCTATAGGGCCACCATATCCAAATCTTCAACTAGATGATGATTCAGAATGATGACTGTCCATCATGATTGTGATGATGATATTTCTCATGCATCCTGCATTATTATTATCTAACATTACCAAATTCATAGGCCTCTTCAACCTGTCTATCGCCTGCTTCCACCAGGTATTCCTTCCAGATCAACAACTGCTCCGAGATGGTGTGTGGAAAAGATGGTGATCCCTTGTACCTGGTCTCCCGCAACAAGAATCAGTATCTCATGCATCGAGAGATGCTTCCTGTCTGCACGGATTTTTTGTTTGCCATGCTTTACCAACATGTTCAGGGCATCGAAAATTCCAATGTGTATTTGGGATATGACCCCACCGGCCACCAAGGTTCAGTTTTGGATCAGGAGATTGGCGGGTGGGACCAGATGCTTGGCTTCTGAAAGTTGGGTGGCCACAGTATTCACCACTAATCTGAGCCCAATATGTAGTTTTGACTGGAAAATCGTAACTCCCAGTTTCAATGACGGGACCTTGCAAAGGGGTACTTGATGTTGTGCTTACATTGGATGTAATTCCCAAATACAAATTTTCATTGGGTATCTTGAAGCCCCATGGGTCACAATTTCTTAGTTCCCATCATGTACATGCAGAGTCCACAAACCAATTTTTAGTTGGGAAAACCAGCTGTTTGAGGCATCGTCAAAAAGACCACGTCCGTATATATTTGGACGGGTACGTTTATATATTACCCCCATTACAGATTACAAGCCCATGCTAAATGATTGACAAACTATTTTTGATCCAAACCTCTACCTTGGATATGGGCAAGCTTCAGTTCCGCCATGTTGAAGCTGGATACTTCTAAATGCAAAACTTGACAATCAAAAATTAGAACTTTTAAATCCCAAAAATAGGTCTAGTTTTTGATTGGGTGCTCTTGACTACACCCCCATCCACACTGCCAAAGGATGCGGTGGAACTGATGCAGGAGGCCAACGGCCGGTGGTTCAGCTTCGATGTGGGGTTTGAAACGGTGATGGTCTTAGAAAAGAAAGGCCTGGCTGATCACCTGGGTTCCCTCTCCTGTGTGGAATCCCCTACTTTTTTGACAACCATTCTCCGAGAACTTGAGGATGCTGGCGAGGTTGGGGTGTATGAAAATATGCATGTTTCGATTTGAACATATAAGTTGAGAGTTTTTTTAAATTGGACTTAGGACCTATATGGACCTAAATATGTTGGTACAATCCCACGCCCACTTTGAGGTCAAGGTGGGCATCACGCATCACAGCTTGTCCTCGGAGAAGATTGAGCAGGAGAAGCCCTTGGCGTTTTGCATGGACGCTGTCAAGGTCGAGCAGCCTCCTAAGAAGAAGCGGAAGTCCAATGCAGCGGCTGGATCAATGACTTCTAAGAATTTTGGGTCGGTCCTTGACATTCCGAAGCTTAAGAGGGCAAATCGAATCTTGATTGGGTGGCGTGTCAGGCGCTCTGGTTCCCAACAAAGTGCTTTGCTAGATTTTCTATTTGGAACTTGGATATTGATGACATTTACCGCAACTGAACTCATTTTTAATCGATGGGCGCAATCAACTTGATTTGATCCTCATTAAACATCTTCGATATGGTTACTTATTCTCGGGTTACACAAGCCAACCCCCTAGCCCCCACAGGCTGGATTCGACGAGTTCATCGGGTGTGAAGACTATCGTGCCGATTAGGCCAGTGGCATGTCTCAGCGGCGTGCTTGACTTAGGAGATGCGGTGGTGAAGTTCTTTTGAGGTTCGACTGTTTGAACGTGGGATCCAACGGGGAGCATCAAGTGCAAGCGGGCAAAAAACAGTTTGACAAAACAATAATCATCGTGAAATTGTAATTTTTAAGCATCAAAAATTTGTGGTAATTTGGTGCCAGCTTGATGCAGAGTTTACTGATATCCAGGCAAGGCCTGTATCAGTCTGACCACAAACTGTCTTGGGTAAGGGCCACATGCGTCCCTGCAATCTATAGCCATGAGTCTTGGCAGCTTGAACCTGAACCCCTAATACTTTCTGGTTTTTGTTGATTCTGGTTGGCTATGGTTGCTTGTTTCAACCACACCTGGTATCCGATAGCTGAAGCGATGTGTTCAACACTTGCGCAGCAAAAGCCTGTCCTCTGATCGATCTGAACGTTGGCAATTGGTGCCCAGTCTGGCCTGCAATTTCAGTGTGTGGTTGGGTCAAGGGGTGATACAATAGGCCTGGCACGCCCCTTCTGGCTTCTAGACAAGAGGTAGGGCTTTGGGGATTCAGACTCGATCCGACCTAGTAGCTATGGCCCCAAAACGAGGGCTGAGGAAGGTTGATAGTGATGACTCTGAAGTGCAGTTCGTATCTGATTCTACTTCTTTCAAAGCACCTGCCCCTCAGATGCATATATGATTGAGCTCTGTGTACAATGGCTGATATGTCATGTGATGAAAAAAATGGATTTCGAAAAAGACTTGTAAAACCCTCACCAAGATTGTTGCTTTGTGATGCTGTCCAGCCAAGGCATTTGATCTCAACGCTATGCTGTCCCAAAGGTCTACACCAACCAGTGCTGCGCCATCGAGGCCTTCTAGCAGTGCTGGCGCCCGAAACTCTTATGAATTATGTTTGATGTGTCGCGCTACAGCGATGGGCCCCTAAGTTAAGGCAACATATAAGTTAGTTAAAGCACTTAATGTAGATAAAAAGAACTTATTTTGAAGTTATTTTTGAAGTTATGAAGGTAACTTAGATTAAGTAATAACTAAGATATAACTTCAATAACTTATTTTGATCACTTCGGCATTACTTTTTTTTAATTTTTTTAGTATCAAATGACTAGGCATTTTCTATTTTTCAGGAAATTGACGTATTTTTAAAGACATTTTTGGGGCCTTGTTTGATTGATTTTTTGGTGTTGGTTGTTTCAGGATTGCCAATGTGGTGCATACAAATTTTCTTTTAGATGTTTTTCTCGGTATGTAAAGTATAGTCTACTTGGAGACGGATGACCGACTTGATATGCTATAACAGCGTGGAAGACGGATGTTCGTCTGTGACGAGAACCCAGTGGCGCACTCCGTTCTTTTTTCGGATCTGAGACGGATGACCGACTTAATATGCTTGGATCGACGGATGACCGTCTTTGACGAGAACCCAGTGGCCCAGCTCGTTTTTTTTCTGATTTTGCACGGCTCCGATCAATCTAAGCATGTTAAAATTTGGCTTTCTTTGAGCCACCATGCAGCATGGAACTGTTCCGACCACAAGCACCTTCATGTCAATCGCCTTCCATGTGCCAGTGCGTTGGAATCGTTTCGACCAAGGAACGAGTGATGGCAGTGGTTGCAAATCTTCGTAGATCATGAATTCAGTGTCATCTTCCAAGGCAAAGAATTTGACAATGCCCCCTTTCTGACTCAAAGCACGGGCATCTCTGGCTTCAAAACTACTGATCTCGTACGATAGGTTCTGCTAACCTTGGCGCCAAAGCCATCGAAAGCTGCATTGACTTGATCTTCACTCTAGATCGGAGCAAGCATCGAATCCATCCAAGGTTGTTGTGCCAGTTCCTCTGCATTGTGCATCAAGATCCGACTCATGATTGCAAGACTCAATGCACCGTCGTGTCTGCCCCGGTGTCTGCCCCGGTCTGCCCCGGGTCTGCCCCGCGTCTGCCCCGGTCTGCCCCGCGTCTGCCCCGCGTCTGCCCTGTGTCTGCCCCGGTCTGCCCCGCGTCTGCCCCGTGTCTGCCCCGTGTCTGCACCGTTCTGCCCCGTGTCTGCCCCGGTATTGCCCATTAGGTTACAGATTTCTGTGACTTGGATCGACGGATGACCGTCACCTTGACGAATCACCGTCATTGTCACCAGCGGTTGTCCGCGGCTATTCATTTTTTCCCTCCGCTGCACGGACTCACTGGCGAAAGTGCTTAGACCATGGACTGGTGCCATACTGAGGACGGGTATGCCGTATCGATCCTTTGGTTTTCTAGGAGGAGTCAATTTTCGCAAACTTCGAAGACGGATGACCGTCTGAAGTTGGACCAACAACTGCAATCGATCGATGGCCTCAATTTGATTTTTTCATGGATGCACTTGGTGCTGTTCATTAAATAAATAAATATATATATATATTATATATATATATTTCTCGGTTTGGTTCCATTGCCAGATTCTTTCTGTTGTTTTGGCACCATTGTTTTTACGTATTTTGCTTGTAAGCTACCACTGATTTCTGTTGTTCCTTCGAAGGGGCGGATCTCTGCCAAAATAAGAATAACAGCGGAACAACCGCAAAAAGAAACAACGAAATACAAGCGGAAATACCGCAGACAAAAATCCGAAAAAAAATAAAAGCGGAACGACCGCAAAATTCCAAGTAGTTACACAGTATAGAAAGGAGCTACCGCAATCAAAAAATATATATCAAAAATACAAAAGTTTTGGTCAAGAAGAGAACAGGATATTTCAAAGAAATTTTATCTAAAAAATAAATACACTGAAAAAATGTTGTGGAAAAAAAACGACAAAATTTCAATAAAAAAAATAACTTCGAAATAACTTCGACAAGCCAAAATACAATGAAGATATATTAGATAAATAAATAACTTATAAACACCATAAGCAGTATTACTTACTTATAAATTACAACATACTTATGCTACTTAAAAAATATATATCTTATCTTAACCCTACTTATTCCTATTTATCTACGAACTTAAAGCAAGATATAATTAAAATAAGTTAAGCTAACTTCAGGGGCCCACTGCTGTAGTGTGGGTTTCACAGAAACGGGTCCCCAAGAACATCCCCTGCAATTTTAAAAGAAGAATGGTCTCCATATATCTTCATGATTAAAAAACTATTTTCAGAACATTATGGTCCTATTATTAATATATATTAATATTACTTCCCCATTCTTGCTGAGGCCCGGCTACCACGGCCACTCGCAGCAGCGCTCACGAGATCTTGCCTGATCGCGTCCAATCATCCGAAGACTCCTCGCCGCAGGACAAGGACAAGAAGAAGAAGAAAGAGAAGAAAGTGAAAGACAAGAAGACTAAGAAGTCCAAAAAAAATAAGAAGGGAGTTGATGCTGATGAGGAAGATGAAGACCACGATGATGAAAACATGCCTTTGAGTACGGGTGGAAAAGATGATGATGAGGAAGATGATGACGATCTGTTGGGTGATTTGGAAGGGGTTGGATCACTACTGGATACTGACGACGGTTCTTCGAAGGATGTCAAAAAACGACCAGCTGGTAGGGGATCAGGTGGCCCCAAAAAGCGCCCTTCCTCCAAGAAAGCTGCTGATGATTCCCAGATTCCCCAGGCTTGCACCACCCACGACAAACCAGTAGGTCAAATCAGCAGGTGTCAAATCAGTAGGCTTGGGAATTTAGTGATTCTGGCACAGGCCCGTGTACCGCAGCCCTTCGAATACTTGATCGAAGGTGGTGATGACTATGCCACCTACAGGCGCCCCATTGGCATTGATCTACAGGTTTGTCTGAAGAGAAGATTCCCAAACTCCTAATGTTTGATCCTGATAATTCCTCATTATTGCAAAACATTGGCTTTGGTTTCCCCAAACCCATATTTGAAAATAGGAACGGGGTACAATATAATAATAATACATAATAACCGGATATGGAACTCCCATGTTCATTTCCCATGGTTGAGGTCGCAGTCTCTGGAATTGCCAGATGAATCGGTGACGTGTCTTGGCTCAGAAAATCAATTATATATTACTGTAATCGGCTTGGGTGGGGAAATCTGCCTGCCAATTTGAGAAATTTCTCCAACAAATGCCTAATGTGTTGAACAACAAAGTGCACCCCCAGTTTGGACAGGTTCTGTGTGAAGCCCAGAGCTTAGGTGCTTGGGTGCTATGGAATATCCTGACAACCAGCTTGGGCTGCCTGAGTACGACCAGGAGGTGGGTTGTTTGGGTGATTGAATCCAATGTCTGGGGGACCAACTTGGTTTCGTCTCACGTCTAAATTGCTAACTTCCAGTTAAGTGTCAACTTCCCGCAGGGCAAGTTGTGGGACCCCGGAGGCTACATGTTTAAAGAAAAGGCTTTGAAAACCAATTTTCACAGTTCACAGCCTTGGGGGCATGTTTGATCTTTCTATCAGGGCCACTATCGGATGGACTTCGACTTCCTTGGGGACATCGACGCCACACAAGCAGACCCTGAGACCGACCAAGAGGTGGAGGACTGGAGGGACAAGAGGATCTGACTCCACAACATTCTTTTTTGTAGGATGACACATTGTATCAAACACTGATCTCTGATTATCTTTGTAGGAGGTTTCCCCGAAGTTGCACCGGAGCTTCGCCCATGAAGATTTGGGTTCTGTCCTTCACGACGAAGGTGATCGACCACACGACGTCCAAGTTGAGGAGCACCAAGTAGATTACCTTGCAGCGCAGCCCAACTGTTGATGATTATTTACAGATCCATGTACACCCATACATATATATATATATCATTATATATAAACAACTGATAAATATATATATATATATAATACAATTGTATAGATAATATAATAACTCATTGTTTCTTATTTTTACACGCATTTTTTTACATAGAATGTGTATATATAAATATGTATGTGAATCTAAATATACAACATAGATTTACATTATATGTGTGTTTTACTTACATATAAATATATATATATTACTACCTGCATATATATTTATATACACACACACACTTCTACTACTTACATGTATATATATATATGTTTATATCTTGCATATGTATATATATATATGCACCTAGGCTACTTGCAAATATATATATATATATACATATATACATATATGTAGTTTGAACATGAACCTGTCAGGACCATCACCTGGAAGATGAGAACACATCGTTGGTGGATATCGACAACACGGGTCACGAAGACTCACCCCATGGACCTGTGTCAACTGAGGATGCTATGGAAAATCCCCGAATGTTTTTTTCTGAGGTTGCCGACCACACAGAAACCAAACCTGGGGATGTTGTGATGGCTGCCCCGGACCGCGCAGAACTTACAAAGGTTGCCACCCCCATGACTTGCGCCAAGAGTAAGGCCAAGCCTGCCCCCAAGAGTAAGCCCATGGGGAAAAAACCGAATGTTTGTCCCAAGAGTGGGGGATCCAAGCCGAAGCCATCCCCAAAAAAACGTGTTTCAAAACCGATGGCCAAAGGGAAAGTCAGAAAGGCTAAGAACAACAAGCAGGCACCAGCGGTGGCAGCTCCCAGCACAAAGGCCAAGAAGGTCCAAACCAGAAAGGTTAAGGATGACGTGGAAAAGAAGATGCATTCAGTCATCTGGCATAAACCGATGAATTTATCTCACAACTTAGGTGGCTTTGATTCAACTTTTTAATGGTGGGTCCTGTTCTCCCTCTCGCCCTAGGTATATTCGAACGCCCACAAGTTAGCCAAAGATGCCAGCAAGACAGCGGAGGAAGCAAAGTCCATTGCCACGGAAGCCCGCATGCAGCACATGGCTCAGTGATTGGGGGTTGGAAGCTTCTTCCCACTATGATTCACTATGATGGTTTTGGGGTTCTTGATACGTTTATCGCAGGAATTCTGCATGCTTGAACGCAACCGAGGTGGGTCTTGAAGGAGGGCCCACGTGATCATCCCGCTGTTCAGCGCTACCTCACAAGTGGGGGCATGGATCTCTGAGCGTATGATGTTTACAGTTCAGATGGTATAAGCTCTGTATGTTTGCCACTTCCCACTTGAGAATGTCCAGTGGTATTGTCCTCTAAATTTCTGATTCCTCTAAAGCGGATTTCCCTTTCAATTGAATGGTTGGATGTGGGGTCTTCAGTGGCTATGGAGCCTGGTTGCCATGGCACATTAAATTGTGCGTGCACAAATTTATTGCGGATGACTACATCGCATTCAGCTGGGGATCAAAAGGAATGAGCGTGACTGGGGCGAGTTTGGCCAACCCGACCAGTCCAATTTCCATGTTACTTACCTCCATGAAACAAACTTCCCAAATCATGTCACCACATCTCCATATTAAAGACCCAGTTCCATTTTGGAAAGGTGCCAGTTGCAAATGCACAAGTCTAAATCACAATGGAATTCTGTCGACCACACATGCACGAAAAACAGTTGAAACCCCATTTACAATGCGGGAACGATCCTACAGTTGCAAATCACAATGGAATTCTGTCGACCACACATGCACGAAAAACAGTTGAAACCCCATTTACAATGCGGAACCGATCCGAGACCAATCCGAGCATGATCCGAGGATGATCCGACCACACACGAGACCGTCTCGCACCCGTCGCACCGCAGAGGTAGATAATCGACGTTCGGGGACGCACTTTGTATGGAAAAACATAGGCTTTCGTGCATCTGCTATCTCTCAAAAACGCATTTCGTGCGAGACTTCCTCCAAAACTCCATCGGCAACTCCTCCACCAGCACCACTTGCAATCCCATTTACAGTGAGGGAACGATCCTAGAGTTGCAAATCACAATGAAATTCCATCAGCAACTCATCCACCAGCACCACTTGCAACCCCATTTACAATGCGGGAACGACCCGACAGTTGCAAATCACAATGGAATTCTGTCGACCACACATGCACGAAAAACAGTTGAAACCCCATTTACAATGCGGAACCGATCCGACCATGATCCGAACATGATCCGAACATGATCCGAGCATGATCCGACCACACACGAGACAGTCTCGCACCCGTCGCACAGCAGAGGTAGATCATCGAGGTTCGGGGACGCACTTTGTATGGAAAAACATAGGGTTTCGTGCATCTGCTATCTCTCAAAAACGCATTTCGTGCGAGACTTCCTTCAAAACTCCATCGGCAACTCATCCACCAGCACCACTTGCAATCCCATTTGCATTGCGGGAACAATCAATGCCCTAACTAACTCTTTCTTTGACTAACTCTTTCCCTGACGAACTCTTTCTTTGCTAACTCTTTCTTTGACTAACTCTTTCCCTCACTAACTCTTTCTTTGACTAACTCTTTCCCTGACTAACTGTTTCTTTGCTAACTTTTTCTTTGACTAACTCTTTCCCTCACTAACTCTTTCTTTGACTAACTCTTTCCCTGACTAACTGTTTCTTTGCTAAATCTTTCTTTGACTAACTCTTTCCCTCACTAACTCTTTCTTTGACTAACTCTTTCCCTGACTAACTGTTTCTTTGACTAACTCTTTCTTTGACTAACTCTTTCTTTGACTAACTCTTTCCTTGACTAACTCTTTCTTTGACTAACTCTTTCCCTGACTAACTGTTTCTTTGACTAACTCTTTCTTTGACTAACTCTTTCTTTGACTAACTCTTTCTTTGACGAACTCTTTCTTTGACGAACTCTTTCTTTGACTAACTGTTTCTTTGACTAACTGTTTCTTTGACTAACTGTTTCTTTGACGAACTCTTTCTTTGACGAACTCTTTCTTTGACTAACTGTTTCTTTGACTAACTCTTTCTTTGACTAACTGTTTCTTTGACTAACTCTTTCTTTGGCTAACTCTTTCTTTGACGAACTCTTTCTTTGACTAACTGTTTCTTTGACTAACTCTTTCTTTGACTAACTCTTTCTTTGACTAACTCTTTCCCTGACATTCTAAAAGTCCGTAACACGGAAGTTTCTCCCACTAAACTTCCTTTGATAATGGATTTTCCCATTAAAAATTGTGATTTTCCATAGTTATGTTAGTTTACCAGAGGGTACCTGCAGGATGATAATATAGCTAGATGGTGACACGAAGCCACTCGTCGGGCGTAGTCGGACCGTGGGATGATCCTGAGAGCAGACAGGTCCCAGTGATGAAAAACATGCGAGGAAATGGCTCGTATCCAGAAGTGGGAAGCTGGGAAGCTGGGAACCTTTGTGGTCAATATACCCGTGGTTGGTATACATGTTCCGAAGTCCTATATTTTCATGGGTAAATTGTAAGGGTCTTAGGTATCTTAGGTGTCCGTGTTGACCGTGGTAACCTACAAGTAGTACAAACTGCACTCATCCCTTCCCACCAATCCCTCTAGAAACCATTGTTTGGTATGGGAATTACACATTGATTACATACACATATTTCGGACTCATTTAGAGGGTGTTCAATATACGGATTGCAGTACCTATCTAAGATAAACCATGAGCTAAACACCAGCTGCATGCGACACCAATTGATATTGGGGGTGGTAAATTGTTGATATTGAATGATATTGATACAATCATTACTTTTGATATTGGTTTTAGTTGTGGTAAACTAAGAAATTACAATATACCAAATTATACCTAAACTGGTTCTTATAGTTGAATTCTTAAGCATTGCAATAAATATGAAGATGAATATCACTCATAATTTTCGCTGCGAGTCGCTCCTGTTTCTCGTGCTCCAGGCCAGTCTCAACTCCAGCACTGCGATGACTGCCATGACTTCGGTGCTGCGGGCGAACGCCTCGAGCTTTCTACGCGCCTTTTGCTGGTTGAATTTGCCAGATTACGCGCCCCAGATGCCAATGGGGCTGGGGAGGCAAGGGAGGCCTCCGGGAGGCCTCCGGTAAGGTGAAAGGCTGGATTTTTGTGTAGTTAACTTGACTTAAACCACGAAACATGGGAATGAAGCAACAAAGATGTGGAGTTGGTGAGGGCAATGGACTTTGAAGCTTCACAACAACCGAGAGTTGAGATGCTTTGGGCAAGAAACTTATGGAAGAACATGGAAAATTCAGCACTTATAGATGATGTTCATCATTATATTAAACATTCATTTAGATTGGGGATTTACCAGCCACGTTTGAATTACAACTGAAGACTTGAGACTTCCCCACGCCCCCAATGGGTCTGGGGAGATTGTCGCCATGTGATATGTTTTTGTTTACAAAGCCCTTCTGAAAAGAGTGATCATATGTGAGAATCACATATAATCAGCATGTAACCACTTGTTCATTTATAGTTACAAGATGTTATAAGATGATTTTTTTCTTCCAACTGAACCATCATAGATCAAGCTGATACGTTCCCCATTTTAGCGACTGGTGAAATCGCCACGTTGTTCGACTCGCTTCGACACGCGTCCCAGCGATGTGCCAAAACCAGGTCACTTTTGAGTATGATCTACCCTCGGAGTGCCTGGAGGATCCAGACTTGCGTGACTTAGCTCAACGTGAATGGGCTCAGCAGCCATTGAAAATCGTGGTTTAATCTTTAATATATATTTACACACACATACGTATATATTTATAGTTAGTTAGTTAGTTAGTTAATTAATTAATTAAATATATATATATATATGGTTTAATCGGAATTAATGAAAATTGCATGGGGAAAATATCGACATATCATGAGGTTTTTGACCAGGTGCTAATCAAATATTGCTGGGAAATCTCCATCAAAAACGGATGGGAATTGAGCAGGATGTGGTCCTGGGAACCCAACGTTGGTGCCTTCTTTGGATTTGTCTGAAAATATATTGTACCCTTAAATCTACTGGTTTACGATTTTTTCTGCATTGAGATGGTCAGTAGTCATTTCGGGGTTATTATCAGATTAACTTAAATATACATTCTCATCATACTCCACGGATAAAATCCTCATGTTTGTTGGTTAACTCATGTTAAATCCCTATGTTTTGCCATGTTTGATGCTTAGTACTCTCTGGTCTTTTAATAACTAGGGAAAACTGCCCATCTATAGATGATAACCATGGTGATTTGCCTATTAATATTTTGTCCATGGCTATGTTAAATAACCAGCTATATCCCCTAGACCCTTCTTCTCCGCTGGTGCAAGGCGAGATCATGGCATTGACCAAGTCTGCCAGAGCGGGTCGGATTGACCCCTCGCGTGTTTCGATGAAGCCTCCGGTGTTGTTGCAAGTGTCTGCTTGGGGGAGGAAGAAGAAAAGGAAAATGAAGAAAACGAAGGCACACCTTGCAGCTTAGCTGCACTTTTTTTTCAACTGCGATGAAACGTGATTTCAACAGATGGTTCATATAAAGCAAAACAACAACTGAAGAATAACGAACAGATTCCCATGGAAATTTTGAGCTGCCAGGGTCCCCCAAAGCGAAGACAGCCAGTGGGGTTTGCCCAAAATGTCTATTCACCAACTGTCCTCCACGATTTTGCTGGCCAAAACACATGATGAACAAGTACTATAGAATATATATATATATATATATACATGTTGATTTATATATATAATACATATTAATATATATATATAATACATATTAATATATTATAATGTATATATATATACACATATGAATGTATATTAATTTAATATAAATGTAATGTATATGTGATTCCCTTTGGGGCGGACGTTTGCCCACAGTTTCATTGGGGTTTACTTATGTTGTGGTTTGTTTAGGATTTATTAAAGATTGTTTTAGGCTCTACTTAGGGTTGGTTTATTAGATTTTCTTTAGGGTTTGTTTCAGGTTTGTTTAGTTAATGTTCATTCGTTTAGTTAATGTTCATTCCGTTTAGCACCTTTCTGACTTCATCCTTCTTCTCATTTTCACATTCGAGATGGAACCACCTGAGCACAGAAAGGACGGATCAGGTTCTACGGAAGGGTCAGGGCAAACGGATGAGCCCACAAAACCAAGGACTGGTGAATACCATTGGTACGACAACATCAGGACTATGTCCGAAGTCGGAGACCTGGATGAATCTGGTAGGTTTTGTATTGAAGGGCGTGATGTTACCAAGCTGGGACCCCAAAATATCGTTGATCTCAATGAAGTGGTCCGGGACGCTATTGTCAGAGGAGGAGGTGACACTTGGTCAGTACCAGAGTTCCTCGCAAACTACTCCGACAACAACATCAGAAAACCCTTCTACAAACGGATCGAAGCGCCGCGAGATGGTTTCTTGAAAATCATCCCCACGACGGGAGCCCACTTCTTCAACTGCTTCTACTTTGGCGGTGTGGAGTATGCGGCAAACTATCGCTTCGAAACCGGTAATCGGCTCGACAGCTATGAGGACAAGGTGAGCATCTCACTGAACAGGATCCTACGACACAATGTGGGGAAAGCCTCAGAATCACAAAGCTTGTTTTGTGACGATGCTGGCTGGGTACCCATTGAGGACGTACTCAAGTGTGAGTCAATCTGGAGACATGAACACCAACGTTGGCCGCATGTCTTCCTCGCCCCCAAAGGGAGAGCAAACGATCGAAATGCATGGAACGTGGAAGAGGCGAGCAACCGCATGGCGTTGCTGTTCAAGATCATGTTCCACTGTGCCCGATATGGACGTCGTGTACGTGAACAAATCTTGGCGTTCGGGATCAACAAGGACATTGATCGCAGCAGCCTGACATGCATTGACAACAACGTCAACGCGGACACGCCTATTCCCGACGAGGGGCTATTGCTCTATCCAGTTGCAGTTCGCGCTCCAACAGGGCACAAGGAGGGATCCTCCAGAGACGACGTCTTGTTGATGTCCTCCTTGCTCTCGCATCCGATTGCGCCCAATACCATCATGTCAATGCCGGTTTGCTTCCACATCACGAAGAAGACCAACCTTCGAAGCATTTGGAGGGAAGGACTGATTCCTGGAGGTCTTGGGGAAGGTCATCGTATGTTCACGTTCTTCAACCCATACGTGCCGTGGGATCATCGCTCATGGACTATCACGAAGAGCGTTGACACACGAAAAGGGGACTACATCTGCCTCTACATCCCGACCGAGACCCTGATGGTGGAGTACGGTGGTCGATTGACGGATTCGGGACAGATCGTTACGCCAAAGATCATCCCGTTCTCAGCGATCAGAGGAGGATGGATTCAAGATCCAAAGGATCAAAACAACAAGACATGGCACCGGTTGTTCGTTCCGTCGGGCGACGACCAGGTAGTCCGGTCAGGCACTATCAAGTCAACGAAGACTGTACGCTTAAAGTTATAAGACTTTACAGACTTAGCCTAGATATACAGAAGTTAAAGGATTTATGTTGGAAGTTAACATGACTTATCAAAAAGATAAAAGGAAGTTATGTTAACTTTAATAACTTATTTGTAAGTTTTGTCTTAACTTTTTATAACTTCTGCTAACTTTTATAACTTCTGCTAACTTTTTATAACTTTTCATAACTTTTTGTAACTTTTTTTTATATTTTTATACTTTTGAAAGTCTTTGCCTTGGTTTCCGACCACGTGGATTTTATAACTGTCTTGTTTCTGAAAGAACTTTCAGATATGATATCCTTTTTTTGAATCGACGAAGTGATGTGAAAGCGTTTCAGTTATGTATGTTTCAGGAATCATGACACCTGAGGCGATATGTTTTTTTTAGTGATATCTCTGTCTGTATTTTTGGATCGGGAAACAAGTTTAGTTACAACTGTTCCCGTTCGGGATCCGTTATTTTGTTAAAACGATCCCGTTCGGGACTTGGTTGTTTCAACCTCTCCCTTTCGGGATCTGGTCCGTTCCAACGTTCCCTTTATCTGAACTATAGCCATTTTTATCTGAACTATAGCCATTTTTTTTTGAACTATAGCTATTTTTGTTTGAACTATAGCCATTTTTTTTTCTGAACTATAGCCATTTTTATCTGAACTATAGCTATTTTTGTCTGAACTATAGCTATTTTTCTTTGAACTATAGCTATTTTTGTCTGAACTATAGCTGAACTATAGCTGAACTATAGCTGAACTATAGCGGAACTATAGCGGAACTATAGTGGAACTATAGCGGAACTATAGCGGAACTATAGTGGAACTATAGCGGAACTATAGCGGATAGCTATAGCGGAACTATAGCGGAACTATAGCGGAACTATAGCGGAACTATAGCGGAACTATAGCGGAACTATAGCGGAACTATAGCGGAACTATAGCGGAACTATAGTGGAACTATAGCGGAACTATAGCGGAACTATAGCGGAACTATAGCGGAACTATAGCGGAACTATAGCGGAACTATAGTGGAACTATAGCGGAACTATAGCGGAACTATAGTGGAACTATAGCGGAACTATAGCGGAACTATAGCTGAACTATAGCGGAACTATAGCTGAACTATAGCTATCTAGGGACATTTATAGGGGAAAGGTTGAAAATCGAAGAATTAATCCTTTTCAGAAACTGTCTTCTCAGACCGGATCCTTCTCAGGAATTGTCATTTCAGACTCTTTCCTTTGCAGGAACTGTCTTCTCAGACCGGATCCTTCTCAGGAACTGTCTTCTCAGACCGGATCCTTCTCAGGAACTGTCATTCCAGACTATTTCCCTTTCAGGGACTATCACTTCAGACTCTGTCCTTTTCAGGAAGTATCTTTGCAGACCATATCCCTTGCAGGAAGTACTTGTATATGATACTTAGTTTAATCTAAAATGATCAAACCAAAGAACTCAGGCAGCACACGCAATATGCCTTTTTTCACCCTGTATAAATGTTGACAAGCTTTGTCACAAACTTAATGAAACTCTCGAAAAATGTAAAATAAAGAAACATTTTCATTGCCCTCTTGTAAACATATTTTAAACTTTATATAACTTTATACTAACTTTTTGTAACTTGTTATAACTTTTTATAACTTTTTATAACTTTTGTTAACTTTCAGATAACTTATGATAACTTTTCCTAGATACTTATGTTAAGTCTGTTAACATAGTTATAAAAAGAAAACATGCAGTTAAGATACTTACGATAAGTTCATTAACCATTTATATTTTACCTAAACATTTACAACTTCTCGTAGCCGGCTAGCTAAACTTACAAATTACTTATCAAATGTTATGACACTTTACATACTTGCAAGCAAGTTATAGACATGTTATAGAAGGTTTATATACATGTTGTAACTCGTCTAATTCTGTAAACTCATATAACTTCCAGCGTACAGTCTTCGAAGAACTGTCGCCACCAAGGAGTCCATTCTGAGGATCGCAAGTCAATGCATCGACGCCGAAAAGCAAACGTATGACGAGATCACCATGGATGCAATGAACATCGTCCACCAGTTCAGGAACAATCTAATTGAAGGGGGTGGACAAGAACAATACCTCGCCCGCATCAAGCTGGTCGACTACATCGTCGAGCGCAAGAGGGTGGAAACTTCAGGTTGCCGTCATTGCCCTCATTGCCTCAATGAGACGCCAACGAAATTGGCAGTATGTCTAGGATGATGCTGGACAGAGCTTGAGAGCTGTGGAATTCGACCTTATAGATTACAAGCCCCTGAAGACGATGAAGACGAAGCCACCAAGAAAGAGATCGACGAGGAGGTTCGCCGACAGGAAGAATCGTTGTTCGAGGATACGGTCCACCAAGCACAGGAAAACATACCTGAACCCAACGATTATGGCTTCAATCCTGACGAAGTCGACTACAACAAAGGCGATGACGAGGAAATGGCTCAGGAGGAAGAGACTCAGCAGGAAGACGACGAGATCGTTGAGGAGGACGACGATGATGACATGAACGTCGAACCTGAGAAAGAGGCTTCAGACAACCTGCCAGTATGGACCAAGAATCTTGTGCCTGGAAGCAAGGGTTTGCCAGGAGATGGACTAGTAAACAATGATGTCTCCGAGGCCGCGGCTCACTTGTACGACAATGCCGTGATGTCAAAGATCATCGCAATGTTCAGACTCTACTACAACCAGAGAGTCAATTTGACCCCAGAGGAATACTATGCGTTGATGACAATCACCAAGCGAGTCCGACTGGACCTGGACGACTTCTGCCCCTACACGGGCGAAGATCAGGACGGCAAACTCAAGCGGCCGACTGAGCAGGAATTGGACGCACTCTTTCAGGAGAAAGGGAAGACGAACTCATGGTCAGAGGGAGAATTGATGTACTCTGGGCGGCCGAGAAACATGATGATGCCTGTCATCAAAACTCTAGAAGTTTACGAAAAGATGATGGAGTTTCTCATCTGTGCCGGGTACACTCCCGATTCCTTAGGTTTCCTCATGCCAATGACGAAGATGCAGGGAGATGCAAAGGAGAAGCAGGAGATGAGGGTGACCATTAGCAACTTCCTCCGACGATTGATGAAGGGAACCTTTCCCGAATATGAGTCATACACCTTCTTTCGTTCCGGGAGCCACGGCTTCCCCAACTGCATTGAACTCCCAGCTTTCTCGGTATATCTGAGTCTGAGAGAAAGGGAACAAAGGGTGGAACTACTCTTCGCTGCCCAACAATGCGGTATTCCATTACCTCGCAACTTCATCGGCAAGATGGCTTACGCCATTCACTTCGCTGAGTCCGAGGCGATGAGGGGAAAGTCCGAAATGAAAATAAAGATGGCTCCGAACCTGGGGGACGAAGTGGTAGGTGAAGTATTCAAAGCAGTCGGGGACAGTGCCAGCACCTTTCTGGGTCTATGTGGGGTTATTTCGGTTTGGTTTAGGGTTTACTTAGGGTTAGGTCAGCGCTTTGTTGAGGTTTTTGTGAACTCGAAACACTGCACATTACGGAGGATATATTTTAGATATGCTTCAAAAGGTGATTTTGGCACTGTCTTGGGTAAGCGCAAAAAATGAAAAAATGCCATGAGACGCAGGAAATATCAATATTTGTTTTATGTTTGCAGTTTGCAAAATAACACGTGCCCAAAGCACAGAGCAGATTGCAGTCCTGCATGCCATTCCGCGCATTTCGGGCTAACGTCAGCCCCCAAGCGATATGTTTATATAATCATATAATATGTTGTTACTATATGTTTTTTTTATTATTGATACCATTACTTTTATTATTATTACATGTTTTCATTATTGTTATTATTATTGTATATTATTATTACATTATAGATACAACACTCTTAACCCCCTTCCAACTATTTCCTTCCACTTTTCCCAGCTGCTCGGATCACAGGCAGCGCGTCCTCGCATCTTCGCCGGGATCCCGTCCGCCGCGCTCTACGGCGAGCGCCGCATGCGCTGGCGCAAGCAGTGGAAGTGTGGCGACAAGCTGAACGCCTGGGGAGCCGTGGCCGGAAGCCGGTGATTTCATGGGATTTCGTTGTTTTGTTTTGGAAAATATATGAAGATATCCCACCTATCCCATGAAATCACCACTAAATCCGATTAAATCACCTGATTTAACCGTTTTTTAATTGAAGATATGGTGATTTAATGGGATTAAGTGGTCATTTCCTGGAGAATCAATGTTTTTTTCCAGATAAATCATCGAACTCAATAAGCCACGCTATCCATTGGCAATCTTGAGGAACCAACCAGTAGAATAAAGGAGGGGGGAACCATCATGAAGCATCATGAAGCCAATGGGAATATCATTATCATGAGATAATGAGATATATATAATGATATATATATATATAGGATATACATTTTTCAAACATGGGATTTCACTGGAGATTGGCACTTCACATGATGAGCCTTCGATCTCAATGTTGTGTATGTTGGTGTCCTCCCGCGCTGGGAGGCCGGACTCAGCTGTGTCTTTTCTTGGTGCTGTATCTGAAAATCCCAATGTCATACCTTCTGGTAAACTAAAATAACTATGGAAACTCACCATTTTTACTAGGTAAATCAACCATTTTTATGACCATTTTCAATAGCAAACTGTCAGTTTTACCAGGGGGAACCTGGTGACACCCAAGGGGTCGGCCCATAAATAAAAAAACGGGGTCACCGAGGAATCCCCTACAAGTTCATCGTGGGCTGGCAGCTGGTTCTGAATGTTAGCATGGCTGGGATCAATGGAATCGATCGCTGGGAAATCTGCAAAATCTTTGCTGCATATGGATTTGTCTGAAAATTTAAGGTACCTCCAAATCACATCAAATCCCATTGTTATTATCATGCCTAGCTTTCCAGATTTACCATGATTTACCAGCGTCCAGCCAAGTTCCAGACCCATCTGGAAAACGGGTGTGCCTCGAAGTGGGGGAGAGACTCAAACGATCTCTAGTCTTTTTATTTTATGTTATGATATTGTATGTTAAGTCAATTGGAAAGTGCTTCGCTGCGTTCCTTATTAGAGTATCGAAATAAGGTCGCGACATGTCGCATACTCAATCTAACCCTTTCGACCCCCTAATACACACCGACATACATACACTACATAACATGTCAAGACTACATCAAATCATATGAATCAGACCCGCGCCCCATAGATTTGATTATGGTAAATTATCCCTTTGTTTTGGGCGTAGCCAAGTTGGACCCACATCCAATCCCATGCTTTTGGGGGATATGTTTGGCTGTTCGCCAATTGTGTGGTTTCTTTTACAATCCATGTTTTTGGCTGCCTTGTTGTTAAATCACTGTTTTGATTCTATGCTTGATATAACCATGATGTTGGCTGGGTGTCACAGATGAACAATCTTATTGTTGGTTACTTCATACCCCCTTCTGTGTTGTTTAATGTTGTTTATAGCGTTATATACATCTCCGTGACATGCTCATATTATACTCATATTTGCTCCTATTATTGTGTTGGTGTCTATGATGTAGCCACGCAAAATTCGCTGACCCCAGAAAGCCAATAAAATCAACCTGCATTTGGGGATGAATTATGACTAGTAAACACCTCACTCCCCTTGATGGTGATATACTTTTGGACTTCATTTGTGTCATTCATGTCAAAACATCCATTTGGGTAAATTTTAACGACCTCACTGCGACTTCACTGGAATCATGGCTAAGAAGGGAAATCATCCTCAAACAATTGTTTTCTTCAGCTGATGGTGTACTCTGTCGAGACCTTGAGGGTTATGACTTTCCTGAAGTCTCCAAGATTGCGCTCAAGCTCAGCCAGCCAAAGATCGACATCGCCCACCCTTGTGGAATGAGGAATGTGGATGTTCTGACACATGGGCCATTGTCGTTGGAGATCGTTTTGAGCCTGAAACCCATGATGTGGAGGTGATCGGCTGGATGGCTCACCCAGTCCGCTATGATCGTGACAGTGACTTCTACATGGGCACGGAGACTCTGGGTTCTTATGCAGCAGAGCGGGAGGCCCTTGCGTGGGCTGGTCTTTGGCGCCTTGGTCACAACACCAAGGTTGAGACGATCTTCCGCACGGATTCCCTGACATCTGCTCACCAAGCTGTTGGCTTCACAGGATGTGCTGAACGTGATCTCTCCTTCCACCTCTTCAGAGGCATTGTTCAGGAGCTCGAGACCTCACTGTCCACAGGAGCACTTGAGGTTGTTTAGATTCGGATTCCCAGAGACAAACCAACCCAAGTGCAACTGTTTATTTTCCTTAAGAAAGGATTTCACAAATCTCTATACAGGGCTTGGTCAATGTACTAACTGTTCATATCACCTAACAAAAAGAGTGAATATCATCTCCTGTCCTTTTTTCAGTGATGAAGTGTTCAATAACTCCAAAGCCCGACATTTACCAGACATGTACCAAACCCTGTTCAAACAAAACCACACAGCCCTTCTTTGCTTGGGCCTGGGACCCTGCCCTGTCCGATTTGGTTTTCAACCAAGGCCCGTAGACAAGAGCACGAACTTGACAGCGCATCGACAAGGTGGGGACGCGAACGGATGATATCCCCGCCATTGATCCAGAAAGAGATATGATATACATGGATTTATAATGATTTATATATATATATACATCATATGTTTATAGTACAGTAACTACATATATATTTATATTTAATGTATGTTTTTTTGATTATATACATATTTGCAATAATCAAGTGATGAAGTAATGCACTTGATTATATATTATATATATAGATATTGTTTTTGATGTGTAAGCTTCACCATGACAGCAGTCTTCAACAGCGCATTTGTAGTGCTATTGACCTGGAGTTTGGGAGAAATCGAAGGGATGATCGGATGGTTCACCTTGTCCCTGAAGCCCTTCATAACAAACATCCGACCTGATAGAAGATCAGGAACAGTGATGTTTTCTCTACCATCCCGTTGATTTATGATGTTCGTTGTTTTATTAATCCTGCGCTAGAACAAACATCATAAATCAACATGATAGTCAGATAGTCTGGCTGATAGTGCATAAATCACGACATATTCAAGCTTGGAAAACACAAGCCTGTGGAGACCTATTTGAACTCAAAACTGGAAGGACACAGAATGTTCCATTTACTATCAACACTCGAATACAGTATTCAAACATGTTCAAAATACTGTAAATGGCTATGATGGATCCAGATCCATTCTATTTTCAGATATGATCAGTATTCAATATTGAAACGGGGTGATTTTCCCAGCAATGTATAAGATACAACCGGGATCCGAGTCTTTTTAAAAGATTTCCTGAACTCAGTCATGAGGATTTCCTGAAAAGTCTGCAGAAATGGCATCTTTCCAGTAAAATGATGGGACTAGTCGATGGCAGAAGCATCAAATTTGAGCGTATCTATTTTTAGACAAAACCAGATAAGATTGAGTAAGTTCCAAAAAAAGGTCCTAGAAGATCCGAATAACATGGGATGTGAAGCTCAAAAGAAAACGGCTATATATATATATATATGTTGATGAACATTTGGATTTAATTGGGGACGATATAACTATAACTATAGTAACATGTAGATACATATAGATACATATGGTAACATGTAGTAACATGTAGTAACATATATAGTAACATATCTAGTAACATGCTAATATAGTTGTAATTAGCACGTCATATAGTCTGATTCATTGGTATACTTAAACATTGATGAACGTTGTCTTTGCAAATCGACAAACATCGGCTGCCTCGCCTTCCGACCAGGATATAAAGCCACAGACAGCGAAGTGCACAAAGCCGAGTTGCTCAGAGACTTGGATCTCGTTTTCCCATGGCTTCACGGGGGAAAAAAATGAAAAACACCAAAAACCCTCTGGTGATGTTTGTTATCCTCTGGTCAACATACAAAAAGCTGTTGAAAATTGCCATAGAAATAGTTATGTTAGTTTACCAGAGGGTACAGTTTGCTATTGAACATATCGCCATTTCGGAAAGTTTGACTTGATTTAGCGAGAAAATGAGGATTTTTCCATAGTCCAAAGCTATGTAAACGTTTACCAGAGGGTAGCTGTCTGAGATAGGCACCAAGTCAGAGTCCAATGACTTGGATCTTGACTGGGGTACCCAGCAAGGACACCTCCAGATGGCGGTTGAATGGTGCTATTTTGTGATGATTTGAGAGTTGTCTCACCATGTTTATGGCATATAAATGGTGACATTCATATACATTGATTTGTTATGTTCAATAATTTTAAAGAATGCTAATGCCACCAGAAAATATGCCAGATAAAGCGTCAGCCAGAATGTCATATGCCAAATGGAAAATCAGAATATGCCAGCATATATATATATATACAGTATATTCCAGATAAAATGCCGATGGAATGTGATTTGGTGGGGATCACTCATAATTTGTACATTGGTCAAAAACGGCGAGTCTATGCCAATTTGAATATATTTGTTTGATTAACTGCCAGCAGTAAAACCTTGGATGCAATGGCTGATAGCTTAATGATTACATAAGGCCTTAGAGTAGGCTACATGTGATATCCTTTACATGAAGCAATGAAGGCCGTCAAAAAAAAAGACAAGACCTACATGGCCTGATTTCGGCAAAGATGATGGGATCCAGCGAACGATTTCGGCCAAGTAAGCGTTGCATCCATTCTTTTGGGGTTTTATGACATGACTTGCGGAGGAATCCGCAGCGCAACTGCCAGTTTTCCATTGGTCCAATTTGGTCAGTCACATCTGTCGAATTTTTGCCATTCCTCAACGGATTGGTTCAAGGGAAACACCTACAGGAAACCTTGGTTTTTACATTTTTTACCATCAATTATAGGGGTCTACTGTAGATTTTCCCAACAGCAATGTATTCTGGGTCTCACTTTGGTGCCAGGAAACGAAAGTTTGACCTACAAAGACTTGTCACTTGGTCACCTGCGAAGCTCCACTTCAATGTTGTCGGGAGATGAAGCAAGAAATTGATTCAATAGACATATTCAAGAAAAGCATGCATTGACATCATGGCGCCATGATTTCTACATGGTTCTACCGTCACATTTATATACATTTATGGGAATTCATTCGCGTATCTGCAAGCCACATCTTTAAGGGGCACCCATCACCAGTGGAATTTCAAGCAGCCCAGAGTGCTGGATGTTTTGCCCAAGTTTTTCCAAGGTTTTGGACCACAAATTGATGGCACAGAAATGGTGGCGTCTCACAGCCTGTGTGGTTAATGGCGCCATTACCCTCTGGTAATTTAACATAGCTATTGAAAATTGCCATTTATAGTGGATTTTCCCATTAAACATGGTGATTTTCCATAGCTATGTTAAATTACCAGAGGGTAACCACCAACAAAAAACAAGAAACATCGGGAAACAAACACTCGGGAAACACTCGTTTTTAGTAGGATTTTACTTTAGGGGCAAAAGCAACCTTTATATTTCATAACCCATATAGCAACCCATTTTACTGTTCTATAATCTTTCTCTATGGGTTGCCCAAAACATCCTTCGAGGAGATTGCTGTGGCTCAAGTTCACTGCTTTTCAATGTCTCCGGTCCCTTTTTTATGGATCCATATTTGGAAAAAATATCCGATTTTTTGGGGAAATACGTAGAAGTAAAGATTACTTCCGGTAGTCCAAGATAGTTGGCTGGGAAATCCTCTACAAATGGAGGTTTGAACGGGATCGAACTAACGAACTAAAAAGGGTGATATTGGATGATTTACCGTTGCTATCTGGTTGGTGGTGAACATGCCTTTCATGACTTTCCATTCAGTTTGGGAATTTCATAACCCCAACTGATTGATATATTTCAGAGGGGTAGGTATACCACCAAGCAGCTATGTTTGATGGAGGGCAAAGTTTTTTTAAAATTTTGGAGAGGTAAGGATGGGCTCAGAATTTAAACGAGGACCTTCGACATATTCCGATCCTATTTTGGGGGATGGTCCTAGACAGCTTGAGATCATCCACCAAAATAGTATCTTTGTCTTCCCCTATTTTTATTTGGAAACCTTGGTTTGGTCTTGAATTAATGCATAATCTTAAATTGGGTGCCAAACAAGTGGTAGTTTCAGAATATGTATGAGGGACGGAATGATTTTTTGGTGCTTTGCGGGTGGCAGAAAAACACAAAACTTTTTGCCAGATAGCTTCATGTGTTTGATGTAAAGTCTTTGTTTCTAATGTTCAAGATTGTTCAAGCATATTTGAGATGATTGTCCCCCATGACTATCCTTTCAAGGCTTAAATGATCTTTGGAATCATCTATATAATTTTCCTCGGATTTGTGTGTGTGTTTTTGATTTATATATCTAATCTGTTGGTCACCAATGTTTACCTCATCCATATTTGGTTTTCCGGGGTTCCAGTTGCATGAGCTGCTATGGCCCTTTGCCACTTGCAACTACTAAAATCCCATTAAATCACGATCCAATTACTATTAAATCATCATCAAACCACCATAGGGCTTTCTTAGTTCAAATCCTAGAACAATTTTGATAAATTAGTGATTTTAATAGTGATTTAATGGGATTTATGATCATTTCACATTATACAGTAATACTAATTTATCATAAATTTTCGAGGGCTTTCTCAGAGCGCCATAGGATGCCATAGGCATTTTGTGAATTTGCCGGACACCTATTTGAGTCTCCAATCGAAGACCTTTGCGCTGCTGGCTCCTCGGCTTTCCAGTCATTGAGGTTCAGCATCTTGGAAAAATGTGGGTACCCCCGTTAGATGGATGGTTTCTGATGAAAAACCCATTGAAATGGATGATTTGGGGGTCCCCCCCAGCCCCCCATGTCTGGAAACCCTCTCAAATGGCATGTTTTTAGATGATTCACCTTTGAACATGGTGGTTTTCCATAGCATTTTGCTAGATGATCAGAGGCTTATCAGCATCCCAAAATTGTTGATGCCTTCAGACATGGACCCAATAGCCAAGTGTCTGCGGCATCCCAGCTGAAAACGATGGTTGGGGAGGTGTCCAAAACGTGTGAACTGTTTGTTTGTACTTACCCTCTGGTTATTCAACAGTTCGCCATGGAAAATGACCCGTTTATAGATGGTTTACCTATTAAAAAGCGGCTTGCATATATTTCCCCACATCTTTGTGTGGGGTTCTTGTTTTTGATTCTGTATCCCGCCGCCGCCTCCGCCTCCTCCACACAACTTTGTCACACACAACCTTGTCACACACACACACACACACCATTTTTCAACACAAACTTTCACACACAACTTTGTCACACACACAACTTACAACTTTGTCACTAACTCTCTTTCACACACAACTTTGTCACACACCATCTTTCAACACAAACGACCCGTGTTTTGCGTGGCAGGCGCGGCACTTCTGGCACTGGGCTGGATCTGGTGGCGCGCTTGGTCCCCGTTGGTCGCCCGTGACGCCGCGGCACTTTGCTTGGCAGGCGTAGCACTTGGCGACATCCACCGTCGTTTTGCCTGGCAGGCGTGGCAGTTGGCGACATCTACAGTACCTTCATTTCCCTGGCAGGCGTGGCACTTATGGCGCTGGGCTGGGTCTGGTGGTGCACTTGGTCCCCGTTGGTCGCCCGTGACACCGCGCCACTTTGCGTGGCAGGCGTGGCACTTGGCGACATCCACCGTCGTTTTGCGTGGCAGGCACGGCACTTGGCGACATCCACCGTCACTTTGCATGGCAGGCCAGCACTTGGTCCAATCTCTTTCATATACAACTTTGTCACACACACACACAACTTTGTCACACACAATCTTTCGCACACAACTTTGTCATACACAATCTTTCACACACAACTTTGTCACACACACAATATTGCACACACAATTGTGTCACCACACAATCGTTCACACACAACTTTGTCACATACAACTCTTTCACACAGAACTCTTCAGATACAACTTTCAAAATTGTCGATCCTCCACCATCTCCTTTGTCCTTGTGGCTTTCTCCGCGCCGCTTCAACCACTTTTTCTGCTTGGTGGAAGAAGTTGACATGTGGGGTTGTCCGGTCCTTTCATTTTTGAGTGACCAGGTATGGCCTACCAGTTATCATTACTTATGATAAGAGGAAAGATTATCGCCGCCAACCATAGGTCAATGGGTGTGAAAATGGGGCCCTGAGCGTAACCCCCTAATTGTTGGAACCGGGGGCCGAGCGGTAGAGCAACTGACCCGGCAGCGTTGCCACGAACTAGGGTACGCCTCCCCAACAAACTGGTTGACAGAGTGAATTCCCCCCCCCAAAAAAATGTGTCATTTGGCATGTACAAACCAATTGTTGTCTGCAAGTCTTCCCTGCACAAAAACAATTCCTTGATTGACCTCCGATTAGGATCCATTCGGGTGAATTATTGACCTCCTATGATTGTGGTAATCTAATCATATTATAATAATTTATAATATGTTTAGCCATCATTTCCAATCATTTTCCGCATGATTTACGACATTTTCCCTAACTTTTGTTTCCACCTCTTTGAGGACTACGGTTACAGTTTGGGTGCGGAATATGTCATGAAGATGGATGACGATACCTGCATCAAGCCGCACAAGCTAGTGGAATACCTCGATGCCTACGCCGCTCGGCATCCAACCCGGAAAATCTGGGGATTTGCCAACCTTTATAGGATGTGATGGCGATTTTTCATGGGATATAACATGATATAACTGATATATCATATCTAAGGCAACAGATCTCGAGATGGTAAATGTTAGGAGATTCATGGAGATTCTTTTGATATCTGTAGGACACTTTTTAGGGAGTACTGTACTGACTATGAATGGGAATGGCTATCTTCAAAGCCTAGGTTTGGGGTTGAACATTGAGCCTAGGTCAAAATGGGGATTCAACATTCCAGCATCCAAAATGGGTATATAATATAAATGTATAAAATGATATTATATATATATATATATATGATTGGTGGTTTGGATCTACTTCTTGGAAAGTCTTTGGGCTATGATTTAGGGGCTCAGCCGTACCTTCTCAGGAGGTGTTTGGATCCTCTATATATACTGGTCGGTGGTTTCAAACATTTTTCATTTTCCATAATATATGGAATAATCATCCCAACTGACTAATATTTTTCAGAGGGGTTAAAACCACCAAGATTGACATGTCACCTATAATATATAGTAGCATTTCCTTTATCCAGTGGCTTGTTGATTAAACCATTGAGCAGTTTCTACCGACCGGTCCATTGGTGATTTTCCAAAATAGTCTGGGGATCCCAAAGCCAAGGATTACCCTCCAGTAAACTAACATAGACCCTGCCAGATAGGGGTTGGAAGACTAGTTTCCACTAAAAATTGATGATGTTCAGGGTCTATGTTAATTTACCACAGGGTAGAAGGAATATTCCGTTGCTTTGTGATACTGCTCAAAAAGGGCATTCAAAATGGCATGAATTTAACCAACCAACACGGGTCAGTAAAACTTAGATGGTGATTAGGTGATGTTTTTTTCTACGAGACCTCGTTGTTGGGGTTCAATCATTTGGACCAATACTGGGTGGATCACACGGTCACACGACGAGCTCGAAGTTCAGAACGGGCTTCAAGAAAAAGGTGCAAAACATATCTAAAGCTGGTCTTGTTGACTCAAGTTTCACACAATTTTGAAGAACACAACAACAGAAGAAAAAAAAACATGTAGATGAACATCCCAAACCGACCTTTTTATATAGAAGTTGTCCAAGGGCCTTGATCGCCAAATCTCTCAGCAGCTGCTTTCCCCATGAATCATAACCAAGCGTGGATGATCTGAACCCAGTGGGAAGGAGATATTGCAACTGAAATCGCCACGCTATATTTGGATAAAAGTTGGATGAGTTTGCTCAAATAGACAGTCTTGATATTGACAATAGTCAGTCTGTTGGATGAGTATCAAGTCTGTCAGCTAAATATCTAGTTGGATAGAAGTCTGATAGTTTTTGTACCAAGACTGTCAGCTCAAGAAGTCTGCACAAAGGGTGCCCTTTCCGGAATTTCCCGATCGATCCACAGGAAGCGAAGAAAAGGCAGGGTCCGAAGGCGCTTTATGCCGGGTACTATCAGTTTCTTGCCTCAGAGTCCTCCGATCCTGGTTTGATTTGTGGCTGCGATCTATCTGGCTCGGTTGATGACTAGTTCATCATGTATTAGGATGTATTAGGATTTTAATGTGGAAGTATATGGATAGAGAACTGATGATGGTTGGTCGAAGATTAGATTGGCGATTATACAATATGTTGGTGAAGATCACAATCCATGAATGGGGAAGCCCATTCTCAACCAGCCAGTTTTAGAAGGTTGACAGAGAGTTTTGAACGCTGCTCGCATGGGTAGTGGATTTAATGGGCGAACTAGCCATTTTATGGGATAAATATTCCATGCGATGTATGATGTATCAATGAACATATCATGTAAGTATCAAGTAGCGTAACATGAAGTGCAAGTGAAGATCATGAAAGTGCAAGTGAAAATCAAGCAGCATAGCATGAAGTGCAAGTGGAGATCATGAAAGTGCAAGTGAAAATCAAGTAGCGTAGCATGAAGTGCAAGTGAAGATCATGTAGCGTCGCCATAGACACGGTTGCTATTATCCCCACCCCACCCCACCCCATCCCAACTTCCTGAAATGAGCACGACTACACGTACGGTTTTTGACCCGGTGGCATAAACATATACTGTACATTATATACTGGGAAATATGGGATATTAACGGAACATATAGAATTCGCCTTAAGATGACATATGGATAATATGGCCCACATGCCTTAAATGGCCTATTACACACATGTGTTAAACCGACGTGTTTTCGTGGGGACATTCTCGGAATCGGGCATCCCATTGAGACAAGGATTTACCCTCTGGTAAACGGTTACATAGCTGTTGAAAATCATCATTTGAAATAGGTCAGCTATTTCTATGGGCCATTTTTCAATAGCTATGTAACAGTCATTACCAAAGGGTAACTGTGTCTCACTCAACGCCGGTGAAATCATGTCACTGATGCAGACTTTGGTGCTGGAGATGACCCGGGACAAGTCCCAAGGAACCAAACATTTTTTGATCGCCACTTCAACGGTGGAGAATCCCCCGGAGGCTCCCCGGTCAATGCGGTGCGAACCAGGCATTGCATTCAAACATACCGGGGTCAATGCGGCCTCTTTCTTCAAAAAAAACAAACAAATTGTCCCGATTCATCCATACTAACATGTGAATTATGCTTTCTGGTAATCAAAAACGGCCTGCTGGAAAATCCTCCGATTTAGTTCGATGATTTACCCAGCTATAAATACCCTTTAAGCACCTTTTCTTCAACACTGTTTAACTAGGATTTTCCCAATATTTCCCAATCATCACCAACCATTGATAGATGTTCCCAGTTTTTGTTTGTCAACCTCAACCCATTTCCCTCCCGAAATCCCCTTCCCATCCCATTCCATACCTGGTTGGTGGTTTGGAACATTTTTTATTTTTCCATATATTGGAAATAATAATCCCAACTGACTAATATTGACTAATATTTTCAGAGGAGTTAAAACCACCAACCAGATACTATCTTTTGATGTTTCAAAACTGTAACCCCAAATCTTCGATACATTTTAAATCATCATAACATTGCCTGGTGAAATCCAGATGGTTCGATCATGTTGGTTAAATCCCCATACTTTTCACCATATATATATATATATAGTGTACATATATATATATATATCATATATATATATAGTGTACATATATATATATATATCATATATATATATACATATACATATATATATATACATATACACATATATATATAGTGTGTGTGTGTATGTATGTATGTATGTATGTATGTATGCATGCATGTATGTATGTGTATATATATATATTAGCACTTTTCATGGCTCAATCTCCATATTTTTGATGCTAAGTTACTCCATTTTTGGTGTCATCTTGAAGAACCCTCAGGTTTAACGGCTCTGAGTACAAGAAAATGCGAGGAAGAGACGGAGCGTCCCATGGTGTGAAAAAAATGGCCTTTTTTAATGACAAAAACTCACTTGAGCAGTGTTCGAAACCCCTGTTGGTTGATGATTAGTTCGGGGATTATACTACCCTTCATATATTGGGGACTACAATAATCCCATTGGGGGATCCCTATAAACCAATCAGTATAATGGAATATAATGGAATATAATGGAATGATACAGGGATTTTTGAACACTGCTCAACTGGAACATCGCCATTCCAATCCATCTTGAGGGGTCAATCGTTGACGATGGTCCTGGTGGGCGGGTCCTGTTCGACCAGGCTGCCTGGAATGAGGTGAATGTAGGGCCGTAGGGTAATGTTCGACCAAAGCATCACCTTATTTCAGGTAAGTGAATTATATATATATAATTTGCCCAGATGACTGATTTTCCGTGACCCGGTTGTAAAATTTGATTGGCTTACCGGCTTACCATTTCTCATTTTTGGACGGATGTTAAATTGTTTTAAAAAATGTACAGCAAAAATCTTTTGAGGACTTGGGTCGCAGTTGTGTTGTGTGAACTGTCCCGGGTAACAGCAGGCAGAAGGCGTTGCAGAGTCAGGCTTTTGACCAATATCCTTTGGCCTGCTGAAGACTGACAAAAGCAGTGCACAAAGCAAAATCCGAAACAGGTGTCCAATCTGCCAACCATCCATGTTTGGTGACAAGCTTTGAACATCGCAAGGTCTCGTTTGGATATAGCCTCTGGTAATTTATCGTAGCTATTGGAAATGACCATAGGATCCATAGGTAAATATTTCTATAGAAATAGTTGATTTACCCAGCTATAAAATGGTGATTTTCCATATAAATCACCATTTTCCCATGGTTTTGCCATGTTTTCCCATGGATCAACCAGAGGCTAGACCCCAATGTTTGCTCCACGGCTTGACATCCGTTGACCTCCGTTGACTTGATCATGGCCAAGGATCCATCCCTACTTTGCGGGACCTTTCTACGTGCTCTCAAAGGCGATGTTCACAGTAATTGTGGATGGGCTATACATGGCTATACCGGGTTTATCATTGTTTATTGCATTATACACATTACATATCACTGATATCACTATATTATATGATATTATATGAAGCTAAAGTTTGTTTTCTAAATATCATATGTTATATTTTAGTATTAGCCATGTATAATATATATAATGTATTGTGTGTTACAGATTAGATATGTTATGGTTTACTTACATGGTATATATTATACACATATGCAAATACAACTATAGACACTCTATGCTATGGATACATATCTATCATTGTATCATATGCATTATATATTAGTTATAATAAATGTGTATGTGTATGTATATAGTTTAATAGTATGTAATATTATATTGAGAAAGGACAGCAAACTAGTTTAATAACATAGTGATATTACATGTATGCGATGTGTATACAATATAGATGTATATTATCAAAGTATATTGTGTATGATATGTATACAATATGCACATATACTTATAGTATATATATAGTAGTTACATTGCATACATATTCATGTCATTACGTTGAATTACATTCGAATGTATTGTATATTATCATGTTATATTGTATGATTAATATCATACTATGCATACAATGTTTATGGTATATAATATTTTACAGTATTTTATTATTTTTATTAAGTGTTATTAAATTATGCTATATCATGCTATATGTAAAATATTGTGATATATTGTATCGTACTATTTTATAGTGTATTGTGTTGTTTATATTATATACTTATATACTCCCCTCTGGTAAACTAACATAACTATGGAAGATCACCATTTTTAATAGGTAAAAATCAACTATAAATGGACCATGTTCAATAGCTTTTTGTAGGTTTACCAGAGGGTATATATAGAAATACACTACTGGACTCCTGCATCATCCCGACGAGCATCGAAAAAAACAGCAAGATTCGTCTTCTTGTGCAGAGATGTTGTTGTCATGAAAGCCCACACACTTCTCATGGAGGTTTTGACTGGTTGGTGGTTTGGAACCATGGAATTTTATGACTTTTCATATATTGGGAATGTCATCATTCCAACTGACTTTTATATGTTTCAGAGGGGTTGAAACCACCAACCAGTTGACCATTTCACAGAATCCTGAATACTATCTCTACACCAATAAAGTGTCATTTCTGGGTTTCAATGCGCAGTTTTTAGATTCCTAAAAATCATCCATTTGGGTTATCACTGGGTCAACTGCCCAAGAATTTGATGGATATCCCGCAGTTGAAAATACAAACCCACAGGGCACTAATATTCTGAATTATTCCAGTACACATCCCAGAAAATATCACCAGTATATATATATATACTTGGTTATACCAGTAGTACCGCACAAGGCGGTGGCGAAAGTTTCAAAAATAGGAAACCTATAGGAGAGATTCGTTGTTGGAATCAGGGATGGCAGAGCGAATCCACTGATGGACCGAAAGGTGCTTGAGGTGTCCTCTCATTCTCTCTCTTTCCCTGACTATCTACCCACCAACCAACCTATCTTCTATCTATCTATCTATCTACCTATCTATCTATCGATCTATCGATCTATCGACCTATCGATCTATCGACCTATCGATCTATCGATCTATCGACCTATCGATCGATCGATCGATCGATCTATCGATCTATCGATCTATCGATCTATCGATCTCTCCCTCTCTCTCTCTCTCTATCGATCTCTCTCTCTCTCTCATCTAATTACCTATCTATCCATCTATCCATCCATCTATCCATCTATCCATCTATCTATCTACCTACCTATCTATCCATCTATCCATCTATCCATCTATCCATCTATCCATCTATCCATCTATCCATCTACCTACCTATCTATCTACCTACCTACCTACCTAGCTAGCTAGCTATCTAGCTATCTATCTATCTATCAATCTATCTATCTATCTATCGATCTATCTATCTATCTGTCTGTCTGTCTGTCTGTCTCTCTATCTATCTATCTATCTCTCTATGTATCTATCTATCTATCTATCTATCTATCTATCCATCTATCTATCTATCTATCTATCTATCTATCTAATCTCTCTCTCTCTCTTTCATCTGTCTATCTGTCTAGCTGTCTACCTGTCTATCCATCCATCCATCCATCCATCCATCCATCTATCTATCTATCTATCTGTCTATCTGTCGACCTGTCTATCTGTGGTACAGTGTCATTCAGTGTAATGTAGTGTAGTGCAATATAGTGTAGTGTAGTGGAGTGTAGTGGAATGTAGTGTAGTGTAGGGTAATGTAGTGTGGTGTAGTGTAATTTAGTGTAGTGGAGTGTAGTTGTGTATTCGTAGTTGTAGTTGTAGTGTAGTGGAGTGTAGTGTAATGTAGTGAAGTGTAGTTCAAGGTAGTCTGGTGTAGTGCAATGTAGTGTAGTGGAGTGTAGTGTAGTGTAATGTAGCGTAGTGTAGCGTAATTTAGTGTAGTGGAGTGGAGTGTAGTTGTGTAGTTGTAGTGTAGTGGAGTGTAGTGTAGTGTAATGTAGTGTAGTGTAATGTAGTGAAGTGTAGTGGAAGGTAGTGTAGTGTAATGTAGTGTAGTGTAGTGGAGTGTAGTGTAGTGTGATTTAGTGTAGTGGAGTGTAGTGGAGTGCAGTGGAGTGTAGTTGTGTAGTTGTGTAGTTGTAGTTGTAGTGTTGTGTAATGTAGTGTAGTGCAGTGCAGTGTAGTGGAGTGTAGTGTAGTGTAATGTAGTGTAGTGAAGCGAAGCGACATCTGAACCTCCAAAAGTGGCCCCTGGTGTTTTTAACATTTTGACTTCGAAATGTGCTTCGCGCCACAACGACGTGCACTTTTTCGACATCTCAACTTCCAAAAGTGGTCCGGAACTGATGTGTTTTGTACATTTTGACTTGGAAATTTGCTTCGCGCCACAACGGCGTGCACTTTTTGGACATCTCAACTTCCAAGAGTGGTCCGAGAATGGTGTCTTTTGTACATATTCACTTCGAAATGTGCTTCGCGCCACAGCGGCGTGCACTTTTTCGACATCTCAACTTCCAAAAGTGGTGCGACAATGGTGCGTTTTGTACATTTTGACTTCGAAACGTGCTTCGCGCCACAACGGCGTGCAATTTTTCATCTCTCATCTGGCCAGCTGGCTCCGCACCCGCCGCTTTAGCGAGCCTACTTTTCGACCCTCCGGAGCCACAAATCATTGGAAAAACACAATGTTTCGCGACTTTCCTACCTTTTCGCGCATCTGCATCTTCTTTCTTCCGACTCTTTCTCTTCTACTCTTCTCTCTTCTAATCTTTCTCTTCTCTCTGCCTCTGCCCTGCTCTGCTTTTCATCTGTCCATATTGTCGGAAGTTTGACTTCTAAACTTCCTCCGACTATTCGATCATACATATATGTATATATACATGCATGTGAGTTGTATTAGGTTCACCATTGACCTACCACTCACCTACAACCATTGAATGGGTGAAATGTACCAGTAATAGCTGCAGGAAGGGCCACCCCAGTTTTCAGTTTGTTTATAATAAACTCATCTAACTAGTTCGACATATCCACCATGAATGCATGTGTTATCCTATAGCCTATAGTTGTGGTTACCAAGTTACCTATCATAAACTATGCGTAGAAAGAACACACTTTTGTTGGTTCAGTTAAATCATGTTAAGTCTGTTTGCCCACAGACTTCACTGGATGAATTCACATGAAATCCTCATGACTTAAGACATTTTAAGACCACAATCAGTGAAGTCCCTATGTTATTGTTTAAGTTCATATAAATCATATTATACATATCATATTAGATACATATCATATATATAATTATAAAGATATATCATGAGTTCCCTTAATGTTTTCTGTTCTGAACTCACCATGAACGGCCGTTCCGGGCACAAAGTCACGTCAGGACTTGATCCGAAAGATCGTCCAAGATGATGACGCTTGGTGGTGACCATCATTAAACATCCTGTGATTTAACCACCTGTTTTCTAGCTCCCATAGGATCCATGGTGCTGCTATATATGGTAACATTTATCCCATCAATATACCCCAAATGTTAGCATATATACCAGCACCATGGATCCTATGGGTCTTGGAGTGTGGAAATCTCTCGAGTTATTTTTTCTCAGAAATATTTTCCCAGTTCTGTTGTCAACAACACTTCTGAATGCTTGTGAAAAATCATAATCTTTTGCTTGTCAAAATAGCATGTCCGTTGCTTCCTCCATGCATCCATTCCCCATTTTCCAAGATTTCCCCCAAGATTTCCCCAAGATCTAGCTTCATTTTCCAAGATTTCCCCAAGATCTAGCTTCATTTTCCAAGATTTCCCCAAGATCTTTGGTTAAAACCAAGGTTTTTCCATGGTTTTCCCCCTTTCCCCAGAGGTGTTTGGGCCCCATCCGGCGATCTCCTCGAGATCCAGGAGATGAACAGCGTCCTCTGGGCCCGTTACGGCTCCACCGACGAAGACGCCCAGACGGGGCGATGGGTGGCCTTTGCTGCGCCCTGGCGAAAGCTGGGATCATCTATGTTGATGATGGTGAACACCATCTATAGTTATAATCTCATAGCGATGTTAAATAACATCTATAAATAGAAGGTTACCACCATCACCATCATCATCAACCATAGATGGTTATTATAACTATAGATGGTTCATGGGATTATAGATGGATACATTTCTATAAATGGGGATTAGCTAAAATGGGATTATCAATGGGATTAGCTAACCAGCTATAGTTTGTTTATCCCATTTATGATAGCTATGATCTATGAGATCTTGCTCATTCATGGATTTATAGATTCTCTATAGATATAGTTATGGTTATATTATGGGTTTAAGGTTATAAATATAATCTGTCTATAGTTATACCCATCTATGTTGATGATGGTGAACACCATCTATAGTTATAATCCCATTTGTGGATGTTATTTAACATACCCTTTGGTTATTTAACATAGCTATGGAAACTCATCATTTTTTAATAGGTACAGTACATCATCGAACTAAATGGGTCATTTTCCACAGCTATGTTAAATAACCAGAGGGTATGTTAAATAACATCTATAAATGGGATTATAACTATAGATTGTTATCACCATCAACATTATTATAACTATAGATGGTGATGGGCAATAGAGTTAGTTAACTAGTTAGTAAACGGATTGTTTCATTGGGATACAGGGGGTAAAAAATCCCCATTTACTAACCAGAAATCGCAAATCCCATGGCCCATCTAAGTACAGGGTGGTGTCCCATAGTTAGCTAAGTTGGTTTGTAGGTCCAATAACTATGCGGTAACGACATTTAAATATGTGGAGGGCGGGCCAGACCGCCAGGCCCCGGAGGTAGTATGAAATATCAGTTCGTATATTTAAATGTAACCGTATGTATAAATGAATGGGATTCCGTATGTTTAAATGGCCGGGCGGGCCAAGGAAAACCTTCCGGAGGTACTCTAAAATTAAAATACCTGTTCGTATATTTAAAAGTCCGTATATTTAAATGTAGTTGCCGTGTTTTATTGATGATATATCTACAGTTAATGGGATTATAATCCATTTATAACTGGGGGGGCTCTCTATATGTATGGTTAGTAATGGTTAATGGGTTCTGGGCAAATAATCAATATGGGCCACACATGAATGGTATACAACAATGGTATATAATCATATACAAATAGTATATAAATATAGGACTTAACCATACCATATTATAGCCCAGTTATTGATGATTGTATATAACCATATATGGGGGCTTCCATGGCCATGGAGGTATTCATGGAAAATCCGAAAATCACATGGATGAAAATCGGGGGTACCCCGCATTTTAGGAAACCTCCTATATATATATATATATCAATGGGGATTTGTTTAGGGGGAATATCATTGAGATGTATTATTCATGGGATATTTTTTCACCGGGATGTTGGGAACAACTCTGGACTTCAATGGGATTCCAAATGAGCTTTTGAATGGGATTTCAATGGTATGACATGGGATGTTTTTTTTTTAATTGTGTTTGAATGATAATTAAATTGTATATTAGCATACATGGCAGTGGCCCATACGCAGTTCGCTAAGTTGCTTTACAACCATAGTTAAGAATGGTTTATGGTGATGAAATAACTTAGCTAGTGCATGGCTTAATACACCAACTTACAACTAGGGGCCACCACCTTGTAGATATGGAGTGTGATGTAACTTCATGAATGTAGTTTGAAAAAGGTAATCGTCATTGGTTTTTCCTTGCCACTAAAATGGAAATACAATTCCTAATTGAGGCTTGTGTGGGTGCGAAAGAACTACTTTAGCTTAAAACTCAGTTGGTGGCAAGCGCCAAACATACGTTCTGCGAAGCTTGGATGATGGAACAACATCGATATGCACAACAACCACAAGAGGGTATTTCTTTAAGAGTTGTATTTAGATGTTGCCCAAAGTAGTGATTTGCGCTTTGTTTTTGTGGCTACAAATAGGCGTCTAGCCTCAAAGAATTGGGATATCGCCCAGTAAATCGATAACCACTTACCGCAGAATCCCATCCGGGATTCAAACATGGCATGCTGGAAAATCACGAACATTTTTGGGTCAACCTTGGTTAGATACTTTTGATTTTTGTTATCACTGGTAAAATGTACTAACCAGCTAAAAAATGCGGTATATTTTTTTGGCAGCTACTAAGATGCACCATAAAAATGTATAGATGATGTTCATTGATTTTCCCAACCCTCCATGGTTAGAATTCGCCACATCAAACTCATCCACTTTCCACCGAACGCGACGCGTTGAGGAAGATCAACACAAGATCCATGTGGACAGGATTCGCATGAGACTTGGACCGAGGATTATGGTGAGGTGGTGTCTATAGCCATGGCAAGGTCGCTAGGGACCCAACAAGTTATGGCTGGTATAGCTGGATGGTTCTTCCCCCAAAGAAATGTTAATAATATGATAATAATATGGGCAACAAAATGTGAGTTCCTAGGTTTTGAATGGTGTTGACCCATCATATGTTGTTTTCTTTGTAAAGCCCACTATACATATATAATATTTATCAACCATAAACCCCAAACGTTAACCAAGTAATGTTCACCATCTTAGCTGACAATGTGGCAACACCCTATAGGCGGCTTTCACATGAAATCATGACATGTTTGGTTATCAGAGGGTATTTCATCCCTAGTTTTGCGATATTTGGCTTGCGCCGAATGCATATGAGTCCAAAAATCTAGTGGGCCCCTTTTGTTGTCAGCGCAGATGTTGGCCATGCTTTGTGAGTTTTTGGTTAACCACACATGACCACAAATGATTAAATACAAGTGGGGAATGGTTCCTGACAAGAACCGAATGGTTAGGGGCTTAACATGGACCATTATCTCAGGATCACATCACTGGTGAATGCTATGAAAATTCCAACCTTGGAGTCTGGAGCCGGTTTGTTTTTAATCTATGTGTCCAATCTCTCCAACTAACATAGACCCTGCTGATCGCCAAGCGATTCTTAAAACCTCTTGAGATGGTGAAATAGAAGTGAGTCGATGTCAAGGGAATTGCACATAAAATTACATTATATCGAGATGATATCCCGATAATACATCCCCGTTAGTTTTTGCTGATGTTCCATGATTTCCTCGTATGTGTCATGATTCATGATTTCCTCGTATTTTGATATATATTGTTCCCCACATCTTTGTGTGGGGTTCTTGTTTTTGGTTCTGCATCCCGTCCGCCTCCTCCCGCTCCGCCTCCTCCCGCTCCCGTCGCCTCCTCACACACAACTTGCTCACACACAACTTACTTACAAACACAACTTACTCACACACAACTTGCACACACACAACTTGCCAACACACAACTTACTCACACACAACTTGCACACACACAACTTAATCACACACACAACTTACTCACACACAACTTACTCTCACACAACTTGCACACACACACAACTTACTCACACACAACTTAATCACACACAACTTACTCACACACACAACTTGCACACACACAACTTACTCACACACACAACTTACTCACACACAACTTGCTCACACACAACTTACTCACACACAACTTACTCACATACATCCTGCTCACATACAACCTGCACACACACAACTTGCTCACACACAACTTACTCACACACAACTTACTCACAGACATCTTGCTCATCTTGCTCACAACCTGCTCACACACAACTTGCTCACACACACAACTTACTCAGCGTTTTGCGTGGCAGGCGTGGCACTTCGTGACATCTACCTTCACTTTGTGTGGCAGGCGTGGCACTTGACGACATCGATTGTTACTTTGCGTGGCAGGCGTGGCACTTATGGCACTGGGTTGGCTCTGGCGGCGCGCTTGGTCAGCCATGGCGCCGTGACGCCGCGGCGTTTTGCGTGGCAGGCGTGGCACTTCGTGACATCTACCTTCACTCTGTGTGGCAGGCGTGGGACTTGACGACATCGATTGTCACTTTGTGTGGCAGGCGTGGCACTTATGGCACTGGGTTGGCTCTGGCGGCGCGCTTGGTCAGCCATGGCGCCGTGACGCCGCGGCGTTTTGCGTGGCAGGCGTGGCACTTCGTGACATCTGCCTTCACTTTGTGTGGCAGGCGTGGCACTTTGTGACATCTACGTTCGATCCACCGTCACTTTGTGTGGCAGGCGTGGCACTTGATGATATGGATTGTTACTCTGCGTGGCAGGCGTGGCACTTATGGCACTGGGTTGGCTCTGGGGGCGCGCTTGGTCAGCCATGGCGCCGTGACGCCGCGGCCTTTTTCGTGGCAGGCGTGGCACTTCGAGACATCTGCCTTCACTTTGTGTGGCAGGTGTGGCACTTCGTGACATCTACCTTCGCTTTGTGTGGCAGGCGTGGCACTTGACGACATCGATTGTTAATTTGCGTGGCAGGCGCCTGGGTTGGCTCTGGCGGCGCGCTTGGTCAGCCATGGCGCCGTGACGCCGCGGCGTTTTGCGTGGCAGGCGTGTCACTTCGAGACATCTGCCTTCACTTTGTGTGGCAGGCGTGGCACTTCGTGACATCTACCTTCGCTTTGTGTGGCAGGCGTGGCACTTGACGACATCGATTGTTACTTTGCGTGGATGTTATACACACATACATACAGACATACATACATACACACACATACATACATACATACATACATGCATGCATGCATGCATGCATGCATGCATGCTTACACAACTTACTCATACCGGTCTATACGTGGATGTTATTGCGAAAGAGCTGGCGCTGTCTGAGGCGACTTGATGTTATTGGATTAGTGTGTTCAGTATTGTTTATCTAGCTGGCCTTCTATTTGGATGCAAATCAATCACTCGTACTTAATCTTCCACACACAACTTGCTCCGCACCAATCCTTCACCATTTCTTTTCTCTTTCCTGCTTTCCCCATGCTATCTTTACCTTTCTTTTGCTGCTTGTTGGAAGAAGTTGACATGTGGGGTTATCCGGTCCTTTATTTTTTTGTTTTTGTTTGCTTTGTTTTCCGAAAATTCTCCATTATCACCTATGTTAGTTGGGGGGATGAGACCTCAGTTTCAGCTACTACACCCAGTGGCCACTGAT